ATGATCGAAACCAAAAATGCTTTAAATTGCATTTTAAAACATATCTAGGCATTATAAATGATAAAGAATGCTAATATAGATATAAAATCGATAATTTTTTTGAAAATAGCCTACTATGATCGAAACCAAAATGCTTTAAATTTCATTTTAAAACATATCTAGGTATTATAAATGATAAAGAATGCTAATATAGGTATAAAATCGATAATTTTTTTTGAAAATAACCTACTATGATCGAAACCAAAAATGCTTTAAATTGCATTTTAAAACATATCTAGGCATTATAAATGATAAAGAATGCTAATATAGATATAAAATCGATAATTTTTTTTGAAAATAGCCTACTATGGTCGAAACCAAAATGCTTTAAATTGCATTTTAAAACATATCTAGGTATTATAAATGATAAAGCATTTTTGGTTTCGATTATAGTAGGCTATTTTCAAAAAAAATATCGATTTTATATCTATATTAGCATTCTTTATCATTTATAATACCTAGATATGTTTTAAAATGAAATTTAAGGCATTTTTGGTTTCGATCATAGTAGGCTATTTTCAAAAAAAATTAAAGATTTTATATCTATATTAGCATTCTTTATCATTTATAATACCTAGATATGTTTTAAAATGCAATTTAAAGCATTTTGGGTTTCGATCATAGTAGGCTATTTTCAAAAAAAATTATCGATTTTATATCAGTTGCAAACTAGATCTCAACGTGAAATGACGTGTTTACAAATCGCTCCGCAAATTATTCAAAAAATCACAACAGAAACAAAACAGAGATTACCTGAGAAGCTTTTTGTATGCAAAAATTTTCAAAATCGCAGTTTGATTTTCAAAACATCAAAATGGTAGACCCGAGTAGCACAAGTCGGATAATCGAGATGAAATCCTACGCTAGGACGACGTGGTTATGATCTAAGGGCGAATTTCTCGTCACGACGAAAAATTTGCCCTAAAGTCGCCGTGATATCTTCCTTGCGTAGGATTTCGTCTCGAATATCCGACTTGTGCTCTCCGGGAGAATCACCAAAAACTACCAACAACGAAGAAAATCTTTCTCAAAATCAGCATGGACTTAATAGTTCTCAACAACAACATTCATCTTCAGTGACAATTCTCAATATTGAGGAAATTTTCAGTGAAAATGTTTCACAAGCAGCCGACATTGAGATGATAAATCTCAAACCAAAAAAGACAAACAACAATGAAGAAGTTTCTCAATGAAGCGAGTAAAGCAGAAAAACGTCCTCGAGAAGTGATAGTTCCCAGCGCTCCTTTTAAAAGAGTAGCAAACGAAAGCAAACCAAAAGATGGGAACAAACCACTGTTCGAACTCCCACCAATGAAGAAAGCTTCGTCTTCTGGAGTACCGTATCTATTTGGTTCACCAGAACAGGAGACAAAAAGATCGACAACTTCATCGTACTGGGGAGAAAACAGCAAAACATCAGAGCAACAAAAGACAATTTCTGTAAACACGGAAAGCAACAGCAACAAATCTCAACAAAAATCAAAACCACCTCCAATTGTCATCAGCACAGGTGGAGCTGGTGAAATCAAGAGGTTGACGAATGCAATAAACAATCAACCTGGAAGTTTCTTAATTGAGACCAAAAAGGGCAAAGGAACAAAAACGGTAACAACGGAGAGTTGGGATCACTACGAGAAATTCATCCAACTACTCAAAGACAAAAAGCATCACTTCCACACATACTCCAGCCAAGAACCACTGAAGAAGTACGTACTCTATGGACTCCCAGATATGGAAATCAGTGAGTTGGAGAAGGAACTTCAAACCGTAAAAATCACACCAGTAAAAATTGTCAAAATGACAATGAAACACAAAAGACACGAACAAGACGACGACCAGAATTACCTCGTCTACTTCAAAAAAGATGTAGAACAAGGTGGAAATTTCCTGGAATTCCTCAGAAAAATCAAAATTGTCAGCAGTTTCAAAATTAAATGGGCTGACTACAAAAATAGACAAGCTGGATCATCTCAATGTTCGAAATGTCTGCAGTTTGGTCATGGACAAAACGGTTGTAACAAACCGTCCGTTTGCGAGATCAACCAGAAACGTCCAACATACATCAAAACCTCAATGGAGAAAGGAGCATATGGAACCATCAACATCTGGTACACAAAATCCTGTTTATTAAAAACAAGTTCCAGTCAACCACAAACCAAGGAACACAAATCCTCCTCCAAATCACAAACCCTCAAATCAGGGAAATAAAAATAACTTGAACAACCAACAAAACAATAAAGAAAGAGGAAAACATTGGAAAAAGAATCAAAGAAAAAAGCAAAACGAGCGCATTAATAACAATCAACATCAAAAACCAAAACAAGATGTTGAGCTTATGGACTCAGAAGACATCAGTCCAACAAGTCAGACCTCGAATGAAGTCTTCCCAGAACCTTCATTCAGTGCTGAGGTAGTGAATCGAAACATAACAACTAATCAACAAGCTCAAAGCACCAGCACAAGAGATAAAAACATCTCAGAAATAGAGGAATCAAAGTGCAAGTACCTCATCAGCGAGCTTCTCAAATTAATCGCCAAAAATCCAGAGTTCATCGACGAAATACTCCAAACAATCGGCTCAAACGCCAAAACCACTGCATACAATAATGGATTGTAGACAACAAAGTATCAACGTCCTCTACTGGAATGCTAACGGCCTCACTGACAAAATGTTAGCATTTCTCGACTACCTAAGCAAGCAAAACGTCGATGTTGCTTGCATCTCAGAAACATTCCTAAAACCAAACTCAAAAATTGACTCGCATCCAGACTACGTAATTCATCGATTGGATCGCGTGGATAGACCAAAGGGTGGTGTTGCAATCATCGTCAAAAGAAATCTAAAACATCAGCTTCAACCAAGCTACAACACAAAACTAATGGAATGCATTGGAATCATAGTCTTCATCAATGACACGGATAGTTGTCACATCCTTTCAGTTTATCTCCCAGGAGGAAGCAAAGGAGGGGAAATGTATCAACATCTGAGAGATGACATCAACAATATAACAAATCTGAGAGGAAATTACTACATCTGTGGAGACTTCAATACAAAACATCGAGAATAGATTTGCAACTTGGCAAATAAATCAGGAAATATTCTTCAGGAAATGTCAGGAGAGTTCATGATCTACTTACCTGACTCGCCAGACCTGATGCTCTCGAATTCCAACCTGCGCTGTGTATTTCCAAATCAAAACATCAAAAATTGACAGAACTGAAAATACAGTCTACAGATATGACTACAAAAACGCAAACTGCAAAAAGTTCAAACCACAAATTTCACGCCGCTTCGAAGACAACATTGGAGAAAATTCTTGCATCACAGCAGACGAGATCGAGAATCACATTAAGATTCTCTTTGAACTCATCATGTCTCTCAAGTATAAAACCAAAACCTGGATGGCCAGCGAATGAATTAAGCAGCTACAGGCCAATAAGTCTGCTCAGCTTAATAAGTAAAATACTGGAGAGAGTATTGCTGAATAGAATCAACGATCATCTCGAGGATAACAACATCATCCCAAGCCAGTAGTGCGATTCCGAACCAAAAGATCAGCATCTACCTGAATGTAGAAAAAGCATTTAACAGAGTCTGGCACAACGGGATTTTGTACAAAATGATCAAACTGAGATTTTTACTACCACTTATAAAAAATGTAAGATCTTTCCTCAGTAAAAGATCTTTCGCAGTTTTTATTAAAGGCCAGTTCTCAGGAATCAAGGAAACCAAATTTGGAGTGCTAAGAGAGCAGTGCTTTCACCAACTTTCTACAACATCTTCACACATGATTTTGTAAGAGAGACAACCAACAATATCGGTTTTTTTCGCACATAATACAGTATTGTATCAAGTTCAAAAGAAAAGTTCAACAATACATGAACAAATGGAAGATCAATCTCAACAAACAGAAGGAAATATATAAAATTTTTCAACGAAAACATCAAATAGGAACAGAATTTAAGAAATCTGGGAATGGTAATCGACAAGAGAGTGACATTAAAGCCGCATCACAATGATTCTTTTGAATGCTAAATTAAAGATCTTAACTTGAGGCATATGTTGCTATTTCGATATCCTGCTAACTGTTGTTAGCTTAGTTAAGCTCAGATTTGCATATTAAAACTACCAAATTAACAGAAAACTGCGTATTAAGTCCTTAAAATTAACTTGAATTCTGAGTATTTTTACAAAACTTTAACTGCTTTTAAGTTACAACACAGCTTCAATCCTATCCAAAATGATTAAAAAATGTTCTTCCAACTGTTTTACACATAGTTGCAAACAAATTTTTGGTATAATTCATACAATCTTTATTTGAGTTTATTTATTTTTCATGTGAGCGCACAAATTTTAACATTACACAAATTTCAACATGGCTATACCTAAATGAAGTTCTTCGAGAGTTCTATAATCCATCATCCCTATCTTTTGCGTATTTTTAGTAGTTAAAGCAAAAATATATAAAAAATACATGCAGTCGCTGACGCTGAATTTATTTTCATCGAGCTCAATGTGTTGTAACGATAATAAAAGGGGATTTTTAAAAAAAAATAAAAAAAGATGTTTATGCGACAATAGATTAAGTCGTAGAAATGAGCAATCATAAATACGAAGTAAAATAAAATAATCTATACAAAAAAAAATAAATTTAGCTTATTTTTCTGCAATATTAATAAAAACCTATTTTTGTGGAGATTGAAAAAAATCTAAAATGAAAGTTGTAAATGTGTAAATCTCAAGCGCGTTACCAAATATTTGACTTATTTTAGCTAAAAAAGCAGAAATTTATTTTTTTCAAAATAGAATAAATTAGATTTGTTTAAAAATTATCCAGCAATGTATAGACAAAAAAATTATATGAATATTATATGAAAAACAAACACAAAATGGTTAAATTATTTTAGCAGTCAGACACTTCACTAACATACACAATGATAACATTCTACAGATAACTCTGCATGTACATATATAAAAGCAGTGATTTCATTGTGAACTATCAGTTTCATTAAATGTTTCTAAGTGACCGATAAATTTTTCAGTTGAGTTCACAAATATTATTTTGCAAGTTTGTCATCATGAAAGATTTAAGGTGGACATTTATGTTGTGTTTGGATCTGACAGTTCTCTTTTTTAAAGTACCAAAAATTAGTAGCTGTGACATGCTTAGTGAAGTTGAAGCAAATATTAGTGAGTTAATATTGAACTCTTTCTTATTCTGGTGTAGAATAAAATATTAATATCGTTAAAAATCAATCAACTTCTAAAAAGGAAGAACCGTACAAAGTTCAACTGTTTTTAATGAAATATTAAATGTTTCATATCAAAATGCAAAATGTTTAAACGATTACAGTGCACTAAAAAGGAGAAAATAATTTTTTTCTGAGCACTCAAATTTGATACAAAATTTTATGGCTAAAAGTAAATGCGTCGGCGCTTACCAAATAAGTTTTTAATACCCACCGTTAAGCATAGGGCATATAATGGGTGTACATGGGGTCAAAAAATTTGTGATATAATCTCATTTTTGAATTTTGGTATTTGAGAATCAAAACAGAGATTCTCTTTTTACAAAAACAGAAGCTGAATGACAGAAAGAAAGAATCAATGAAATAATTAATTGTAAATAAATTTTCCCGTCTATCCAAAAAAAAAACTCAAATTGTCAAAACGCTTTCAAAGTAAGCAGGTAGTATATTATAAGGCAGATGTAAGTAATAAATAAACTACGAATGGCAAATTGAAAGGCGCTTGTTACATTATTTTTATGTATTTGAACAAGATTGTTTTACTATATTATTTATTACATAATTTTTAGCTTCCGTGTGTTAATTTTTCAATTTAAGTTTTTTTTTTCAAACCTATGAAGGTATCGTTTCCAGAAATGAATGGCAAGCACGAGAGCCAAAGCTTATTGAAAAGTTTTCAGGCAAAATACCATTTGTCATAATTCATCACTCCTATAAACCAAGCGTATCATATACGGAAAATGGGTGTAAAAGAGCAATGCAAAATATACAGGAATTCCATCAGTTGTCAAATGGATGGAATGACATTGGTTATAGCTTTGCGGTATGTGGTGACGGTCAAATTTATATGGGTCGAGGATTTAATGTAATTGGTGCACATTCACCACGTTATAATGACAAAAGCATTGGAATCTGCTTAATCGGAGATTGGAGAAGTAAACGAATTTATAGCTTGCGCTTGTAATAATTAATTGTAACAATCTTACCATATTTTTTTTTAACTAGTTGAATTACCACCACAACAAATGCTCGATGTGACACAGTCTCTTATTCAATATAGTATGAAAAATGGCTATTTAACATCAACTTACAAAATTCTTGGCCATCGACAAGTTCGTGCAACGGAATGTCCTGGACAAAGACTTTTTGATGAAATTAATACATGGAGCCATTTTTCAAAAATACCAAACGGACCAATTGATACTCAAATTCCTTAATTAATTCGGATAAATTCCCTGTATTTACATGAGAACACTAATAAAAAAATTTAATTTAAACAATTGACAAAAAAAAAACGGCCAAATACCTTACACTTTTTAGCACTAACAAACATCTGGAAATAAGAGATGCATTAATTTGTTAATTTTTTTGGATCTTATCCACGCCCACGGTGGCTTCAAAAATTATTTTTTCATAAATAAAGCTTACACGAATCAAAATTGTCTGCAAACACAATTCCAAAAAAATGATTCTCTGTAAGCACAGCTAAATTATAAACATCAACTGTATTAATTGTTGCATGTTATTTGAGCATAATAAGGATATTTTTCATACAAAAGGAAAAAAAATCGATTTGAGTAGATTCGATTAGAACAGGATTTTTATCGAACAACACATCTCCTCAAATCGAGGACCCCCAGTTTAGCTGTAATTTAATTTTTAATGTAATTTATTCTCAGCTGTAAATAAGTGCTAAATTGAACAGCAACAATATAATTTGCTTTATTAAAAAATACGAGTTTAACAATTATTTTATATTTAAATGCATCTATTAGACCTGATAAGATAAACGTTTCTCAAATTGAGTGGAGTGATTTTTTTTGGAAAATACCAATTTCTAAGAAATGTTCCAGCACAAGAGTTTTCATGAAACTTTAAAAAATTTTAGAAACTTATTATTAGCAAACAAAAATCTCAGTGAGTGCGTGATGCATGTTTAAGCCGATCGGTTGCAATTTCAGAAAAGCAAAAACTCAAAATTTTGTATTTTTCAAAATTGTTAAACATTAATTACACATTAACAGTGATGTTTGAAACACGTGTATTTTCGCCCAGGGATTAACACAATTTTACACTTCATCTTTATTTATCCGGCTCATACAAAAATTTCATCCCGTTTCATCTCTTTTCATGTATCTGGGGCCCGTCAAAAATGAATTCTACGACACTTTTAGTCATTTTTTGCAATTTTTTTCCATGAAACTGTATTTTGTTCTTTATTGGTATTATAGGATTCGCCGAGACAAAGAATTTGACACCATTATCGTTTCTCTAGCATGTCTGGTTCCTTCTCTAGAGCCATTCGAATAGAAGGAGATGACTAGGAGATGACGTAGAATTTTCGGGAAAGGGTATTTTGAGTGTAAACAACCTTTAATTACTTCTTTATTCCCAGCTTAAATTTTAGTTTTTCTGTACCAAATTGTGATATTTCTTCTATTTGTTCATTTAAATTATCATTTTTATCAATAAAATGATTGAAAGTTACTTAAATTAACACTTTAATTTTCAAAATCTTGTAACGAATATCATTTTTTTGAATTTTCTTGTATGTTTTTAGTCAACAAAAAAATTCTATTTTTTCGAAAATTGCTGAAAACATAATTAAAACGTAATACAACTCATATTTAAATGTCGATAGTATGTTTCTAAGGTTCTATTTTGTGTTTTAAAAGAGATAAAGTTACAAATTCAAGAGTATTAATTAGATTTTCAGCTGATTAAAGTTTTGGTAATTTTGCTCGAAAATATGAGAAATTTTTGAATTTTATTAAACCGTTAAACTGAAATTCCTATTATTTTTGACGGGCCCCATCTTCATTATTTTGTACAAAAATTTTATTTTTTCGTACAAAAATTTTCATCTTTTCTTAAAATTGTTTCATCAGGATTCCAGTATCGATTTATAGAATGCTTAAAACAATGGATTTATACTATAATTGATGATTTATTTTTAATTTTATACACAAAAACACGTGATGAAAACGTTTAGAAATATGAATTATTTTGTACTGTTATAAAATTTGAGCTCCTATTAAAATGTGTCAATCAAGTAGAACGGTGACCTAACGAATTGAGTGATGGACTATATATGGGTTTTTTGTGCTATTTTGTGAAAGCAGAAATTAAGTTTTTTAAATTTTGTGAAATTGCCAGTTCTGAGATATGAGCATCTGAAAACGGAGCTAGGGCCGATTTTTTACTTTTAACACTTTCGACTGTAAATCTGACAAGGCTTAACGAAAATTGTTCAAACTTAGTCAGTAATTTGTGCAAATGTTTCTTAATCAAATAAAATAAACGAAATATTTTTATCTAGCCTTACTGCAAAAATATGGGGATTCTACGGAAGGACCTAGTGCAAAATTAGCTACTATTTTACACTTTCGACTGTAAATCTGACAAGGCTCGACGAAAATTGTTCAAACTTGGTCAGTAATTTGTGCAAATGTTTATTAATCAAATAAAATAAACGAAATATTTTTATCTAGCCTTACTGCAAAAATATGGTGATTCTACGACATGACCTAGTGCAAAATTTACTTATTCTTTCGGTAGAATCATTATTTAACGGTTTTTTGAAATTCACATTTTCTAACGGTCAATAAATAATTTGAATTTTTCCGCTAAAAGTTGCACTACAAAAACATCAATTATAGTATAATTAATAATTTATTGCAATGAATTCATAGAAAAGGTTTATCAATTAACGTTTTTTTTGAAATTCACATTTTACAACGGCTAGAAAAAATTTAAAATTATAGAGGTAATGTTGAAATTACAGAGGCAAAATAAAATTTGAGCAGGTTACACTGAAAACAAAACAAAAATTCATTAATTATAGCATAAATACACTGTTTCAAGACTTTTAATTGTTTGATCGGACAATAAAGAATAGTAACGGAGCTAATAAAACAAACCCAAGCTTTCTATGATGTCTAGTTAAAAAAGTTTTTTTTTACATTTTTTCGAATGTTTTAAAACAAAAAATGTTTTAAAGGTAAATTTACCTTGGTTCTACCACCAGCCACAACAAAAAGCTATTAGTAAATTTCTATTTTGCTTAGGTATATGGATTTATATGATTTTAAAAGCTTTAAAAATGTTATGAAAATGAAATGTTTTTGTTAAAGCCTTTAAAATTTTAATGACTTATCTAATGAAATTGATGCTGATTTTGAAATATTGTTTAAATCTTTTGCAAAAGAAGATTTTCTGGAAAAATTTGAGGAACTGTAACTTTGTTTTTCTTCATTCAACTGTCGAAATGATATGAAATAGATTATTTCAACAATTGAAAGAATGGATACTCCAAGAAAAAGACCAAGTAATCCACCAACATTTGCTATAAAATCTGCCCATCCATGAATTTCTGACCTTTGAGTATACAAGAAGTCATCATCCTTGAATAAAATTGAAACAACCGATCTGTATGCACTAAAATATAAATACATTAATTGTTTTTTTATCCCAAGAAATCACAAGGATTCAGATTCGGAAAAAATGTTCAAAAATTCAAAATTATTATATTATTTGAACTTCATCTTTTGAATGCCAGATTAAAGATCTTAACTTAAGGCATATCCTATGAAAATATCTCGTCCCAATTTGATGTCTAACTCCAGAAATCTTTGGTTTATTTCACCAAAAATTTGTTTACAATTTGTATATGAAAAAAAACTTTGATTTTCTGTACTTTAATTTGCTATTTCGATATCCTGCTAGCTGTTGTTAGCAAAGTTAAGCTTAGATTTGCATATTAAAACTACCAAGTTAACAGAAAACTGCGTAGTAATTCCTTAAAATTCACTTGAAATCTGAATATTTTTACATAACTTTAACTGCTTATTAGTTAAAATCTTCCAAAGTCCTCTCTGAAACCTATATAAATCAATTGAACAAGCTTAAATCTATCTCCGATATTAATATGGTCATGCCGTTTAATGCCGATTTCGAGATATTTGCGTTCAAAGTTTATGGGCGATTCTCCAGCGGGGAAATCAGCCAAAAATCACTTTCAAATTGATTTTTCTTTAAATTTTCCCACTAAAGCATGTTTGTTCTCAATTAAAACAGATGTATTTTTCCTAATTCTATCTCTTAAAGTCATTCAGAAATCATAATTAAGCTTATATCATTAGTTTTTTCAATTTTTTTAAGCGTTGCTCGGCAACCAAAAATCGAATTCAATTACGAAGAATCAAAAAATTACTATCAAAGAAATATTTTTATTACACTTAATACATACTAAATGGTAGATCGTCTTTAGTTTTATCATATTTAAATAACACATCTTTGATTTATTGCTTTAATTAAGAAAAAAATCGATTCTTCGAACAAAATTTAATGTTGCCGAGCAACGCAAACGCTTTATAGGGGAAAATCTGCTCAACGAAAAATTTAAAATTTGATAAAAACCGTTAGATCTTAAAACTTTCAGTAGTTTATTTGGCACAAAAATGTTAATGATCTAAACTATATCTTATAATAATCATTAAAATGCATATAAATTAAATTTTCAACCTACAATTGACCATAGAACCGGAAAAAATCGTTTGAAATAGATATTTTTTAACGGTTTTCTCAAATTTGAAATGTCAAGTAAAAGAAGAATTACAATTCACTTTTGAAAAATTCAATTCTTCTGGAGAATCGCCCTTATATAGGTAAATTTTCATACTAAATTATGCACAATATTTTTTGATAAACTTATACAAACTTTTGCTAAAAAATTATGTTTATCCTTTAAATTACGGACTGAGTTTTTGAGCTATTGATGAAAACATTATATAGAAGATGCTAAAAGCATCAAATCAAAGTAAATTAACAAAAACTTTCAATTTTCTAATGTGTAAGAAAAATATTGTGCACAAGGAATTTTTAAACACTTTTTTCAAATCTGAATCATTTCAAAATGCATAAAATTCATTGCTTACTCTAAAATTCTTTCGCTCTTAGAGAAATATCGAATATCATCTTGACTTATTTCTCCTTCATAAAAGAGACTGGTGCATGACGGGAGACATTTACATGAGCTTTTTTCTACTTCACCATAATTGTTATTTTTGTTTAAACTGTCTTTCATTTTTTGCAATGCCAATTTCTTTTTTGCTTGATAAAAGCAATTTTCCATTGAAGAATTGCAAACTTTTTCGCCAATTTTTCTAGGTAAAGAAAAATGAACACATCCACATATTTCGATGGTATATTTAACAAGACACTCTAGCAAACAGTTTGCTCTTGTATACTTTTTGAAATAAACAAGCTTTTTCTCTCCCTCTATATAGCATTGTCTCGTATCAGTCGAGTATGCATCTAAACCTTCTGTAACCTTTAAATAAGAAATATTTAAATATAATTTTAAAAAATATAGCGATTTAAATTATTTACAGTCATTGATGGTCGAATAATCAAAGTTGCAGACTTTTCAAGAGGAAATCTAAAATATTGTTGATCAAAGATAGGTAGCTCACAAGGTAGATGTATAACTAATTTAAATCCCTTGACCAGAGTTTTTATAGCTTTTACTTCACTAATTTTTCTCCAAATTTGAAATTTTAAACCTCCATTTTCTCCAGAACCTGATATTCGAAATGGATAAGTAAACGGATCGCTGTTTTTATATCCTTCTTGCAAATCCCAAGCCGTATTTGGATGTTTAGTTTTATCTTTTAAATTTTCTAAACTCTCAAATGCACTAAAGTAATGGAAAGAAATGTTAGTAGATTAAATATCTGTTAAAATAATCACACATAAAATAATTGAATCAATTTACACATCTGTTTCAAAAAGATCATAAAAGTTCATCATGTTGAAAGTGTAGCAAAATCCCTCATGTGTCACAATTTCTGTGAAAAGTTTACTAGAATGATATTCATCATGTCTCCATTTCACATGTGTAATTCTTTTATTCACATTGCCTGTTATATTTTTGAGAATTGACGCTGATAAGTTTATACCACCGGTTGGACAAATTGTTACCGCAGAAAAGGGTATGTCCCAAATATTCATTGGTTTTGGAGCGAAAGAAAAAATTAAAGGTGAATCAATACGTTTACGCCAGGATAAGTAAATGACATATGCACATGCAATAATTGACAAAACTAAAGCCACTGACCAAAATAATTTTTCTGTCCAATTTCGTTGTTTGTCAGTCAGATATTTTATTCCTAAAAAAGAATTTTATAAATCTCACTGCTTTCGTTACAAAAAAAAAACTGATTCCTTTACCATGAATACTGGTATCAGCAGAAAATTCTTTAAAAGTCCTCCACGAAGTTTTTAAAAAATCAAAAAATCCAAAACATCTTCTCAAGTTTTCAAATTTTTCTTGACTATGTTTTTTTTTGAATTTCACAATTCCACTTTTTTCTGTAGTAACACAGTCGTTGGACAAAATTTTTTTAGGAGAAGAAATTGCTGAAATAGAATAACTATTTTCTTCACTCTTAGGCATATTATGTTTAAAAAAAAATAATGCTTTCAATTCAACGGAAAATATTCTACTAATTAAGTTTTTTACTCCAATATTATATCGTAAAATTTTTGGGTGTGTTGCGTATAAATTACCATTAAACGAGTATTATGTTGTGCTTTATCACGTGGACACAAAAATTAGAAATGCGTTGATTGTAAATATTTGAAATGTTCCTAAGGTTTAGTGAGGTAAAGTATGAAAACATTTTATGAATGGAAGCATTTGTCACCTGGTGGCAAATAAAAAAAAAATTGTCATGTTAAAAAAGGCTTGCTCACTGATGACGTCCGAGATTTAGGGAGGGGGTTCTAGGAAATTTGTGATAGCTCAAACATAGGAAATTTATTTCATTTAAATTTTGTGACATTTTAAAAAGCATAACTTTGAGGGACGTCATAATGTGAATTAATTTTAAAAACGAGAACAAAAACAATTTTGTCTCGCATACACTCCTTTTTAGTGCATTTTTTGAAAACTGTTTTAGCTCTTAAATCATCGACATAAATGCAATATTAAAAGACTTTCACATTTTTGATGTTTTTTGTTTTAAGTTCATTTATTCATATCAACCTTAAGATTGTGTTATAAATTTACATTCATGTTTAATAATTGCAGAAATAAAATATAGATTTGATTATTAATTTAATTTAATTAGCACCAAAATAAATTTCCAAAAAATGCTCTTTAAGACGATTTTTAATTATACTCATCGAGTGAAATGCTTTGATTTGCTTAGGAAGTTCGTTATATTTACTAAAACCTCTTACATATATAGAAATTTTGTGTTGCTGATGATTTGTCTGACATTTCTTAATTGCAAAGTTTTCACGATTTCTTGTCGAGTGACGATGAATGTCACTACCTACTCTTATCTCTACATTATTTTTAATAAGAGTTTTATTAATTTTAAAAACTTGTAGACAAGAATTGGTCTCACAGATTACAGAGACAGGTAGTAATTTAATGCAGTATAATACATCTTTTCCAGCAAACCAATTTTTTTAAAGAACAATTCGCAAGGCTTTCCTTTGTAAGATTTCTAGAGATTTCATTAAACAGTGATGTCATTTTTGAGAAGAAAATGTATTTTCCATAAATAAACACAACGACGAGCAATTTGTGTAAAATTTGTAGTTTCTCTCTTTTTTTAAAGAGAACATCAAGAAGGGCAACAAAAGCCCAACGCAGTGCTTCAACTGCCAATGCTGGGGTCACTCATCTCAAAATTGTGGATATAAGTTCCGATGCGTCAAGTGCACGGAAGTTCACGGACCAAATCAATGTCAACGATCCACTCGTGATGGAAATGCCAAGTGCATTAATTGCAATGGCGATCATGCTGCCAGTTATAGACTGTGCCCATCGTTCATTTCGTATTCCAAAAGAATCGAAAAGTCAAGAGCCAAACCACAACTCAAAATGCTGCCACAGATATCAAGTCTTTTGGACAGTAACAATTTTCCATCGTTAAGCAAACGACATCAAGTTTCTGCTCATTCACATCCAGTGAATGCTGCAAGTAACTCATCAGCAACATTTCAAGAAGAGATTAATCAGCAATAACTGATCAATAATATCAGTTATGCAGAGAAACTCAACGAAGCAGTAAAGAATGAAAGCCTTTTCAAGAAATTCACAGAAGCTCAAGAACGTCTAAAGAGAATCCCCAACATTGAAGAAGCAATAAATCAGTTCTGCAGTTTCGTAGACGAAGCCGGAAAGATCCCAAAGGATGCACCTCAAACAACTGCATTTAAAATCATGGTGAACTATGGCTTCATTGGCTGCCCTCCAGCACCGAACAAGCCAGTTCAAAAATAATTTATTAACGTAGTTCATAAGCTTAAAAAAAAGCTTTTTTTTTTTTCTCGCTCGGCAACTTTTTTAAACTTTTTATGCCACATTTTTTTGATATATGTAAATCTCAATCATCAAAATTAATAATTAATCAAGATATAGTTGAATTAAAGCCATATTCAGGCTGGTGTCAAAATAAGACTCAAAGAAATGTAACTTAAACTACAATAATTCCAAATTTGAAATAAAGAAAGATTATCTCTTTTTTAAAATTTGCAACGGATTTTTTTTGAATTTGAAGCAAATTTTTACGAAGTTATTGTATATTGGGTTCCAAAAATTTAGATCTGGTCAATCATATTTGAGTTTTTGTTTTCAAGACTGAGCTTACAAATTTCTCAAAAAAAAGCAATGAAGTAAATTATTTTAAAACTGAGTTTAGTAATACACTTTAAAATTCACCAAAATTGCTGCGATCTACAGTTTACAATGACAAAGCGTAAAAAAGGTTTGTAATATGCAATAAAGCAAAAAATATGTGCATTGAAAGTGCAGTACTATCCCAAATTTAAAGATGTTCCACAGCGAAATAAATTATTTTCCAAACAAAATTATAAAACCAGATAAGAATTAATGATAACAGAAACACATTTTTGATGATTTGAATCAAAAGTATTCTATTATTATATATTAATACAGAATACGCTTTTAGAATCATTGTGTTCTTGGACTTAGTCACAATATTTTGAAAAAATTTATGTTTCATCTCAGATGTCACAAGAAAACTTTTAAAATCCTGATTCGCTAAAAGTGTGATCTTATATTATTTTCAACTTTTTGGTTTTTAGTCTTTTTGATAAAAGCGTGTTTTTAAAAAGTTTTTTTTTTAACATTTTTTAAAAATTCAACTTAGAAACAAATTTTAGCATTGTTTTAGGGGTTTTTTATGTTGATTTATCTTATAGTTCTAGCATAGATCTATAGAAAAAAGTCCAAAAACTAAAAGTGGAATGACCTTTGTGCCTAGTAGTGGCAGTCAAAGTATGACATATTGAACCTAGCATATCTGTTCTCCTAGCTGCTAATGAGCTTCAATTTCTTTTTAAATGCATCAACACTACTTTAAGCTTTCTAACAATACTAAAATTATTGCATATGCTTAAGATTTATAATAGTTCTAACCAAAAATGTCAAGCATAGGTTTCCAGATTCGGTAAAATTTGATACATTTTTTATAACTTTGATGATATTTACTAGAAATTACATATTTATGTGATTTATTATATACCATTGGAATGCTTTTTAAATGAACTTTATGAAAATTGCAGAAATGTTTTGATTTAAACTAGTTAAAGTAGCTTTATTGAGCATTTAATGGTTTCATAACATCATATATCACTTTTTGCCTAAATTTTCAACAAAATTGTGTTTTTAATTAAAAACTTTTGTTGTGGATGTTAAGTACATTGCTTTTTGAATAAAATCTGAAAATTTCAGTTCCTTTCATTAAGACTGGTATGTGAAAATTCATTTTGAATTTTGAGATACCTCACTAGACCAACTTCAGGCTCATATTTTGAAGCTTTCCGGCAAGTGATTCTTTTTTCTTATTGCATTAATTAATAGAGCATATTTAGGGTCTACAAATTAATGAAATAAAATTTGTGAGCCGGACATGGACAGTGGATCACAATTGAGAATATAGCAAAAAATATGCAAATTTTTGACTTCAAAGTTAATTTTCACTCCTCAAACTACATAAAATCTGTAGATTATGCATGTGATGTTTGTAGATATAAATAAAATCTACAAAATACTGCAATCTAAAAATATTTAGAAAGCCTGATATAGTCATGAGGTCCAAAAAATGACAAAAAACCTAGTTTTTTCAAACATTTTTCAACTTTTAGGAACCAATATGCACAAAAAGTATATCATGTGGATATTCATAAGAAAGTTCTCACTTGTATCTATCAAATAAAAAAAGTTTGAAGACAAACGGATAAGTAGGTGAAGCACAATAGCATTTTAAAAATTACGTGAAGTACAAAAATTCAAACCCTCTTTTCTCGTAGACCAGGCATAAACCAGGGACCAATGCCTACAACATAAGCATATAAGCTGAATTTTTGACAAACTTTTCACGTTTTTGATCAACGTGGTACCCTTTACTAAAACGCAAATAACTTTCTTATGTAGTGGGTCTAGGGTTTGTATAGTTTTGAAAACCACAAATCAATGACTACACACCAATGTTATTTTACCCCCTATTATTCGGCGATTTAAGGTACTTGCGTCGTGTGAGAAGATAATTCTTGCAAAATTTTCATACATTTCCTTCCATACGAGTACCAAAATCAAAAATTTTATGGGTTTGTAGTGTAGTTTAATAAAGCTCTTATATTAAGTTATTGGAATACGAAAACAGTTTTTCAATATCTGGGCAATTCTCCAGATGAGTTGAGTTTTTGAAAAAAGCGCTTTTATAATCCAAAGTCATTTACTGTTTACTTTCAATTTTTTTTTTGTTAATATCTTGTCAATTTCTTTGTTTTGATTGCTTAAAGCAACTTTAAACTGTTTATTACGATTGATTCTTACTGAATCAACAATAATTCAACCATGAAGTGTTAAATTAAGACTAAAATTTAATTTCTATGAAATATTTGCTTTGCATTTTTTTCATGGATTTGCAAAATAAAAGCTTAATTTTTTTACTGTCAGCAAAAAAATCCACCGAAGAATCAAAAATTCTCTTTAAATAGTAATTATTGGAGTGTGATATGATTATGGTAAGATAGATTAGCTCAAAAACTACTTTTCTGCATAATCATAATAAAAAATGAGTGTTTACTTTTCTTCAATTTTCGATTCTCCGGATGATTATTCCATTTTTTGCTGACAGTAATTTGCAAAAAAAATTGAAAAAACTTAATTATTGGCTACTTTCAAAGACTTAAATAGATAAAATATAATAGTTTTTGCCATTTTAGATCGATTTAAATGTAAAAGTTATGCTTGGTAATGGAAAATTTCCGAGAAAATTTGATTCTCCGGATGATTTTTTGAAAAACTTATCTGGAGAATTGCCCATCTATGATTTTCATAGCCTACTTTCAATTTTAAGATTAAGTGAAAAAATGAGAATTTTCACTCATTTTGAACTTCAAACAGCCATAAAATCGCAGAAACAGCACCAAATGTCTTGAAATTTGGCATAGAAGTCTATTTTTACGTCTAGTATAAGAAAAAATACCCTGAAGTCATAATTTGAAACTTTCCAATATATTGGTGAATGTCCGATTTTTTTTTTTTTTTTTTGCCCCATTGCGCGCAAAGAATACAATAATATTATTTACATATGTTTATTTTAATCATACCTCGGATTTCCCCAGATATATTGAATACAATTCATATAAACAATTATACAAGAGATAAATTCAATAAGAATTAGACTATATTATTTTGAGAAAAAAGAGAACAAATAAAGGTTGAGTTAATACAGGTTTACTTTTTATCCTTCTTTTTTTTTATAAACCAACCTTGAAAAAGTGCTATTTCAATGCATGGTCAATGTCATAACATTTGTTAACGAAAATTCTTCTGTATTTATTTGTAAACATATACCGGTTAGCAGGTAATTTTGATTAAAGACTTTTAAGTATGTATTGATGAGATTTTTATAGAATATTGACTTCACGCATATATAAATACATAAATAAAACACACAATTACAAAAATATAGTTAAAAGAGATCTTTTAAATTGTTCTCATCCTCACAAACTCTTTATTCGTTTGCTGATCGCATAACGAAACGGTAGTAGTTGAAGAAGTCGTTTTTTTTAAATTATAAACTAATTATCAACTGTAAGTTTTAGAGATCGTTGATATGATCAGATCACAGTTATCTTTACAAAATTATCTATCTTTAGTGTTTGAAGTACAAATTATATAAAATAGAACATTTGCAAATATTGATTTTATTATTCTTATCATAAAATTGGGATTTCTGAGTTTTGTCAGCATGTATTAGACATAATTTTTGTCGATGACCTTAATGACACAAAGCTGTCGTCACTTTTTAAGTTGGGTTTTTTTAAACAACTTTTCCAGAATACAAATAAAAAATACAAATTTTATATTATTAATTGATCAAAAAAAAAATCATTTATCAAAGACGTTCCATTTTATTGACTTGACAAATTTAATGTGTGCAGAATAAATTTTATACAGTCAACGTAAAGGTGCTAATAAATATCAAAATATAAATATGTATATATATATATATATATATATATATATATATATATATATATATATATATATATATATATATATATATATATTTATATATATCTTGGTATTAACTAGTGAAAAAAGTACAAAACCAGTTTTGAGAATATCAGGCATGACATTTTAATTGTCCGCTGCTATCATCTTTAGTATATAAAGTTTATTAACCGCATAACACAAACTTAATTTTTGCATTAAACTTTTACAGATGTTGATTCGAGCTTTACTTCTGGTGTTAGGAGTTATTTTATTAACACACGCAGACGATAATGTAGATGAAGCAATTAATGCTGCACTTGATAGTAAGAACAATGCTGTAGCAGATGAAACACCAAAAGTAAGATTTCAATGAAGAAAAATTTATCAATGGCTTCTATTTTTTAGCGCATTTTTGAAACTTGTTTCAAAAAGGTAGCTTAATAACGCACTATGTTCGGCTGGTCGGCTGGTCGGCCGCTAAGAAAAACTTTTAATCTAGACATCGTAGAGAGTTCTAGTTTTTTGCATTAGTTCCGTTATATCGAGTTATTGGCCCGCCGGACATTTAAAAATCTTAAAACAGTGTATTTATGCTATAATTAATGAATTTTTGTTTTGTTTTCAGTGTAACCTGCTCAAATTTTATTTTACCTCTATAATTTCAATATTACCTCTATAATTTCAAAAAATTTCTAGCCGTTGTAAAATTTGAATTTCAAAAAACCGTTAAATGATAAACTTTTTTTGTATGGAAATTCATTGGAACAAATTATTTAATTATACTATAATTAATTTTTTCGTAGTGCAACTTATAGCGGGAAAATTTCAAACTATTTATTGACCGTTAGAAAATTTGAATTACAAAAAAATGTTAAATGATAAACCCTTTCTGTATGAAAATTCATTGCAACAAATTATTTAATTATACTATAATTAATTTTTTCGTAGTGCAACTTATAGCGGGAAAATTTCAAATTATTATTATATTGACCGTTAGAAAATTTGAATTACAAGAAACCGTTAAATGATAAACTCTTTCTGTATGGAAATTCATTGCAACAAATTATCTAATTATACTATGATTAATGTTTTTTTAGTGCAACTTTTAACGGCAAAATTTCAAATTATTTATTGACCGTTAAATAATAATCCTTTCTATATAAGCATTCATTGTAACTTTTTGTTAATTACACTAAAATTAATGATCTTCTAATCTTCTCATGATCTGTAAATGAACGCAAAATAATTACATAATCAAATACTGATCGCTAACACAAAAATGCGCTTAAGTCCCTCGATCAATAACACGAGGACTTCTGTAATTTTTTTTTTTGTTTTCAGCCATGCAATAATGGTAACGGTGAGTGTGTGCCATACTATCTTTGTAAAGAAGGAAAGATCAATACGGACGGGTCTGATCTTTTAGATATTCGTTTTAATGAAGAAAACGAATGTATTGATTATTTCGAGCAATGCTGCGATACGGGCGATGTAAAGGTAACATTTTTTATAAGTTCATAATTACACATCAACTATTTTTTTTAAAAAAAAATTGTAAACTTTTAGACTGATCCAATAGTAAATGTGACAACGAAGCCTATTGGAGGGCAAGGTTGTGGTCTTAGAAATGCTGAAGGTGTAGGTTTTAGAATTACTGGTAATAATGATGGCGAATCTGAATACGGAGGTAAAGCATACAACAAAAAAAAAAATAACGCTTATAATTTTTTTGTAAAAAAAATTCCAAATTCCTTCTAGAATTCCCATGGATGTTAGCAATTCTCAAAGAAGAAGTAGCAGCAGAGCAAGTCCTTAATGTTTATCAATGTGGCGGAAGCTTAATAACTCCAAACGTTGTTCTAACAGGTAATTTATTCAATGATTTCAAGAAAATAAAATTAACAAAAAACTTTGTCAAAAATTATAGCTGCTCATTGTGTGGACGGAAAAGCCCCGAATGTTTTAAAAGTTCGTGCTGGGTATGTAGATAATATTTTCATTTGCATCACTTTAACCTTAACCGGCTTTAAAATTTATATTTTTTCAGTGAATGGGATACTCAGACAAAGAATGAGCTATTCCCTCATTCAGATCATTCAGTTATTGACGTGGTTATTCATGAAAAATACTATAAAGGAGGTCTTCATAACGATATAGCATTACTTTTTCTTAAAGAAAGCATTCCACTTGCGGAACATATTAACACTATCTGCTTACCACCTCAAGGTCAAGTTTTTGATAGAAAACGATGCTTTGCTTCAGGTAAGTAATTGAGTCAAAAGTTTATGGGTAATTCAATGAAAAAATTTACTTCAAATTGATTTTTGGCACATTTAGGCTTTTTAAAAGATATTAAGGCTTCTACAGGACATATAACGCTGTAAATGTCACCAAATAAAAATTCTTGCGCTAATTGAACTCTTTTAATGGAGTATTAATGTCAAATCACATACTTTATTAGTTTTTACATGTCCTTCAGAAGCCTTATTATTTATTATAAAGCCTAAATATGCAAAAAATAAATTTGAAGTAAACTTTTTAGCAAAATTTTTAATTTTGGAATTACACTTATTCAAAATTATTTTTTGCAGTTGTTTAAATTTTTTAAATATTAATGTTAAAAAAATATAAAATGATGTTTAAATGATCTAGGTTGGGGAAAGGATGTTTTTGGAAAAGAAGGAAAATATCAAGCCATTCTCAAGAAAATCGATATTCCAACTGTTCCATTTGCTCAATGTCAAGATTACTTGAGGAGCACGCGTTTGGGAAAGAGATTTATCTTGCACGACAGTTTCATGTGCGCTGGTGGAGAAGCAGGAAAAGATGCATGCAAAGGAGATGGAGGAAGTCCACTTGTTTGTCCAGTTGACGGAAAAGCTGGACATTATTATCAAGCTGGTATAGTAGCATGGGGTAAGAAATCTAGTTTACATAACAACCGAAGCATCATATCATTTTTATTTTTAACGATATTTTCTTTTATAAATTTATTCAATGTTTAGGAATTGGATGTGGAGAAACAAATGTTCCTGGCGTCTATGTAAATGTTGCTAAATTCCGTACCTGGATCGACCAGAAGATTTCAGCAAAAAGTTTGCCAACAACTGCTTATAATATCTAATCTGGTTTCTATTGAGTAAATTTTACATTTGAGTTTTCAGAACATTTGTTTATTTCTAGCGTTTCATTTTTTTTTAATCATAACGGCAAAACCCAATTTCTTACTGTTATGAATGCCCGACATTTTTTAAATTTATTGTTTTTACTATACATGTTCAAATAAAGTTTGATATGTTTAATTTTCGTAAAATACAATTATTTAAATTCGTTTTTCTGGCGTCCACGTCACTTCTAGTTTTTTTTTGTTGTTCAATTTTTCAGATTTCATTTTTAGCGCATTTTTGAAACTTGTTTCGAAAAGATAGCTTAATAATACACTTTGTTCGTTCGTTCGGGGCCAGAAAAACTTTTAACCAGACATGGAAGAGAGCTCGGGATTGTTTTATTAGCTCCGTTGCTATCGATTTATTGGCCTATCAAAGAGTTAAAAGTCTTAAAACAGTATGTAAATACTATAATTAATGTTTTTTTTTCAATTTCAATACAGTGCAACCTGTGGAAATGTTTCTTCATAGAGTGTAACCTGTTCAAATTTTTTGACTACCTCTATAATTTCAAATTTGAAAACCGTTAATATTTGAATTTCAAAACCGTTGATTTTTATTTATTATTATATTCAAATGCAAAAAGCGTGATTTTACGCATTATTTTGCTATTTAATTCGCCTTAATTTGCTAATCAAATAATGATCTCTTTGACAAAAATGCGCTGAAGTCCTTCGATTAATAACACGAGGACTTTTGTAATTTGTATACTCACACCATTTTCACGTGTGAATCTATTTGTTTTGCTCAGATTGAAAAATCAGTTTTTCGCATTTTGTGAAAAAACGAAGCAAAATTGGCTATGGAAGGTCCTCAAAAAAAAGTTTGTTTCTGAAATTTTACAACATTTGCAAAAAACAGATTTCAAATTAGTTGCGGCATTGCTGAGGAAATCGCAAAATACGCTTTCTGTAAGCAAACAAACAAGCAAGCAAGAAATCTCAAAACGACTTCTGCTTCGTCGAAATCTCGAAATCTCAAAACGACGGTGTGAATATATCCGCATTGGGTTTCTACCCGATACACTAGTTTTTTATCAATTTACACCATTCCACAGTGGTGAATTTTCAAAAAATTCCGGAAATCGAACACTTTTTGAAAAAGTTTTACCATAAAGTTTAAATCAGTTTAAATAAAGAATCTTAAAAAAACTGAAAATTCACCTATTCCCAACTTTTAAGGACTTGCCATATGGCCAGATGGATAAAAAAAATTAACTCTTAAGATATCTTTTCGTATCAATGTCAGTTTTCAAATGAGATATCCCCGAAGGAAGATCGTGAAACTTTTCCAAAAAGTACTCAAATGCCGCAATTTTTTAAAAATGGGCCACTGAGGCATTCGTTACACACAAACTAGAATATATATATATATATATATATATATTCGCACTACTCCTTAGTTTTTAAAAAAAAAAAAAAATAGGAGCTATTTAAATGGGTAACGCTGATACTAAGTTGAATTTTAGGAAGGCAATAATTCAATTAGCTAATAAAAACCAGGTAACATAAAACTTATACGTCAATTTTAGATTATTATATGTTTGAATCTAAATCAATATTTTTTGAATTCGTCATAATTTTTTTTTTCTCATATTTTTTAAATAATTGATTTTAAAAAGCCAATCAAACCAGAAGATGCTTTTTGGGAGCAATTTTGGGCTGAACATCAGACATCAGTTCAAGGTAAAAAGCAAATAAATTATTATCGATCTGCAACTTTTTACTGAAACATCTGTTTGAAAAATATGTTTTATAGACGTTTTCGCACTTGTAACATCTAATGAAATAAGAAAACTACGTTTGGAACAACCAGAAAATTTGGCAACATTATGCTACAAAGCAACTGAGCGAATAGTAAAAGCAGTTGATAATAGCTGTAGAACCAGTACAGACCATCAGGCAGTTTTAAATTGTACAAGACTGCTCACACGTATCATTCCATATATTTTTGAAGATAATGAGTGGAAGGATTTTTTCTGGTCGTCACTACCTTCAAACGATAAAAATGACTCAACACCATTAGCTCAAAGCTTAATAAATGCAATTTGCGTATGTTGAGTTATATTTTATTATCATTAATTTTTCTTAAAATCTATAAAAAATAATTTTTTTAAGGATTTGCTATTTTGTCCTGATTTTACTGTTACTGCAACAAACAAAAAATCGGGTCCTGATAAGGCTGAAGAATTAGCCAATATCGATAGTTGTGAGTACATTTGGGAAACTGGAGTTGGTTTTGCAAGTTCAATTCCGAAAAATAGTCAAATGGAATCTAAAAGATGTGAACTATTAAAGCTTTTACTAACATGTTTGAGTGAAACAATTTATAGACCGCCGAATATCAATGATAATCAGCCAAATAGATGGATTCAATATTTTACAAGTGCTGAAAATCGACATGCACTGCCGCTTTTTACATCTCTACTCAACACTGTCTGTGCTTATGATCGTGAGTCGAGTATTTTTAATCTTATATATTTTTTTCATACAATCAATAATTTTTAATTTATGATTTTAGCTATCGGGTCATTCGGTGTTCCTTACAATCATTTACTTTTTCAAGACTTTCAAGAACCTCTTGCAGAAGTTTGCTTGCAATTATTAATTGTAACATTAGATCATGATGTCATAACATGCAGTACTCCATCACCAAATTCGTCGGTTATTTCGTCATCATTGCATGCTGAGGAGACTGTAATAGATAATTTATTTATCAATTACTTATCGAGAATTCATCGAGATGAAGATTTCAGTTTTATGCTGAAAGGAATAACGAGACTTTTAAATAATCCTTTGGTGCAAAGCTATTTGCCTAATTCTACTAAGAGACTTTATTGTCACCAAGAGTTATTAGTATTTTTTTGGAAAATCTGTGACTTTAACAAAAAGTTTCTCTATTTTGTGCTCAAGAGCTCCGATGTTTTGGATATTCTAGTTCCAATTTTGTATCACTTAAATGATTCACGTGCCGATCAATGTAGGAAATAATTTTTTTAAATTTATTAACTTTTGATCAAGCGCATTTTCTCGAATGAAAAAACTTTTATTAATTTTATCTTAAATTTTGTAGCTCGAGTTGGACTGATGCATATTGGCGTGTTTATACTCCTTTTATTATCCGGAGAAAGAAATTTTGGTGTGAGACTTAACAAACCATATGTAGCAACCGTTCCTATGGACATTCCTGTTTTCTCTGGAACCCATGCTGATTTATTGATAACTGTTTTTCATAAAATCATAGCTACTGGACATCAACGTCTTCAGCCATTATTTGATTGCTTACTTACAATTTTAGTAAATGTTTCTCCTTATTTAAAAACTCTCTCGATGGTTGCAGCAATTAAACTATTGCATTTGTTGGAAGCTTTTAGTACACCTTGGTTCTTATTTAGCTCCCCATCAAATCATCATTTAGTGTTTTTCCTTTTGGAAATTTTCAATAACATAATTCAGTATCAGTTTGATGGAAACTCCAATTTAATTTATACGATTATACGAAAGCGACAAGTGTTCCATACATTAGCAAACATTCCAACTGATATGAATTCGATTAATAAATGTTTAAATAGTCGTAAAATGAGTGGACGAATTCAGAAAACAGCAAATTTTATGAAAAAATTAGAGCAAAATAATTATAATGACGATAATGACGAGGAGTGTGAGAATGAAAATGATAGTGAGAATATTGGGCATTTAGCGGAAATAACAGAACCAAAAAAAATTGAATCTGAAATTATTGGAGAAGCAAGTGATGAAGATATGAAGAGTGATGGTCAAGACGTACTGCAGCCAGGGAGCAAACCAGCAGAACCTTGTCTCCCGGGTACTTTAAATGCTACTCTTCTTGAAACACCAGCAATTAATCAAATGACAGAAAAAGAATCGGCTCATCCTAGTCAGCAACTTCTCAATGATATAACAACAAATACTGAACACACATCTACACCAATTACTGAAATAACCAATGGTGAAACTGACATTGATCTTGATGATAATGAAAATAAGAGTACAACTCCTATTAAGAGCCCGACCCAGGCATTTAAACGCGCAATAAATACAAGAGGGAGCATTCGTGTAACTCAAAATATAGCTCAGAACAATCAAATCATTTGGAGAGCTAATTCAGAGTGGGTTCAGTCTTGGCGAGCTAAATTACCACTTCAAACTATCATGCGACTCTTACAAGTTTTGGTTCCGCAAGTGGAAAAAATTTGTATTGACAAGTAATTAATTAAACTAGTTTTACAGCAAATGTCTTTTTTAATTTTATTTTTCTTAATCGATTCTTCTTAATCAGGGGTTTGACAGATGAAAGTGAAATTTTGAAATTTCTGCAACATGGTACATTAGTTGGACTTCTTCCAGTTCCTCATCCAATTTTGATAAGAAAATATCAAGCAAACAGTAAATATATCCCTAATTTCCGAAAAATTAATTTGATTTTTATTTTGTTTCTAAATTCTTTAGGTGGAACAACCGCCTGGTTTAGAACGTATATGTGGGGCATAATTTACCTCAGAAACGTCGATCCGGCTATATGGTATGAAACAGAAGTAAAACTTTTTGAGATTCAAAGAGTATAATTATTTTCTCCAAATAAAACATTTTTTAATTATTATTATTTTTGTTCACGGTTCTTTCACAAATAATTGTTTAACGCATTATCGCTTGATGGATTATATTAAAATATTAATTACATATTCCATATTTTATAAATCTTCTACTTAAAAGAAAAACATTTTAAAGTGTACAATAAAAAAAGAATGGCGTAAAAAAAAATAAAATATTTTAAGTATCAAATGAAAACGCGAATAAATTAAGACCATGTTTCTTCTTGATAACGTCCCGATTTAACCATAGATGTAACATAATCTTTATCCTCCAATGCCTTTTCGAGTGATTCTCTTACATCTTTTGGCATGTTTTTTGAATTTCCTGAAACATAAAAGTAGCCACCTCGTTGAAGAATTAAATTTTTTAACAGCGATTTTTCTCTTGGAATCAAGTCTTGAACATATCTACAAAATTAAAGTGATAAAGAGTTATTACAAAAAGTTAATTAAAATTATAATCCTTACACTTTATGATCACTGTCTCTTGAAAATGCACAAAAAAGATTCAATTTTCCTTCATTTTGCATCTTTATCAGTTCATCTTTACAGTGAAAATCTTTTTTTGCATAACGACATCCAAAAAATAAGACAAATTTGTCTTTAAAATGATTTTCATTAAATTGGGCATCTTGAAGAATTGCACGAAATACTGCTAATCCAGTACCGGGACCAACCATAATGATTGGTGTAGTGATTTCTTTTGGCAATTGAAATGTTCCTTTCTTAATTGAAATTCTTACTTGATCTCCAATTTTTAAACCTTTTAACCAATTTGAACAAAGGCCTTTTCGCTGAACTTTCAGTCTGGTATAATATTCAACGATAGCAACAAGAATATCTAAGCAATTACTGTGACTGCTCGAAGCTATTGAAAATGCCCGAGGTTTAATTGGTTGAAATAACTCAAAGAGTAAATCAATAGTAAGTTTTGAAGTAGCATGTGGAAAATCTTGCAAAACTTCAAGAATTGTTCGTTTCGATCGATTAACATAATTTAGCAATTCTTCTTGTCCTTCAAATGAAGCAAACTCTTGTAGTTTTGCCTTTTCCAATTCATTTTCACAATTATATGAAAGTACTTCGAATGCTCGCAGCTTCGGACGTGAACTCAAGTCCCAAAACTGGCTTGCAATCAACTCCATTGATAATGGCTTTTTTAAAAAAACTGGAGCTGGCATTTCTGAAATAAGAAAAGATTAATTACGATACATAAGTTCTAAATATAACGTCTTAATAAAACGCTACAATTTATTTATTTCGTAATAATAATTCTCGAAAAAAAGAAGCTTTCTCATTCAATTTCATCTTCTTTCCAACCATCGTCATCAGACAAAAATCTTCTTTTGGCTGTTGTATTCATGTATGGGCGATAAACCCATTCTGTATCAGCAGCTTTTTCTTCATCAATTGTTCCTAACAAAATATGATAGAGCTTAAGTTGAAAACGTGGACCAAGTTCCGTCAATTCAAGATTATTGTCAACATAACGATATGAGTGATGACGAAAGCTTACAAAATCATCGTGATTTGCAAATGTTATTACACGTTTAGAGTCTTCTTTAGGAACGGGAAACAAATATTTTAATATTGACACAGTTCTTTCGCCTAATTTGGTCTTAAAATTATGAAATATTAAATGCGGTTTAGCTTCTGGCATTGTTCCAATGTCTGGTATTTCGTGTCGAGTTACAATATCAGAAATATTAAATTTTGCTGTTGGACCAAAAGGTAAGTGACAAATCACTAAATTCGTTGGAACACCGCGAGTTTCGTGAATTATAATCAAATCGGTAGCATCATTTGCTCGACTAGCATGAACCAACTGTTTAATATCATAGTTTCCTCTGTTGACACGCTGTGCATTTGGTATTAGTAATCGAAGCTCTTTTACAAATTGTTTTAATGTATTTGACGGGTTATGGCTGGTTGTAATTAAAATTTTTGGATCTTCACTTCCCGCATATAGATATTCATCATCTTGTGAACTTGCTGTATTAGCACCTCCGTTTATTCCACTCGTTGTTGATGCTTGTTTTGGTCCCTCATCACTCCATTTAAGCTTTTTCTGTAATTCTAATGCATCTCTTCTCAAATCACCATGGATTGTCGTGTGTTCTTCCAATGATTTTTTTATTCGTTCTTTCTTCTCTTGCAATGATTTATGCTTGATTTCGGCAGTTTTTCTGTATAAATACTCTCTACGCAAACGTGCTTGTCTTCGCAACATCTTAAATTGTATTAAATGGCAAATTTATTTTTATTTCCGAATACTCGTGTTTTTATTCAGCTATTCAGCAGGCTTTGTTTACAAAACACAAGTTAGGGAATATTACAAGTACCTTCATTTGTCCAAAAATGACAATCACGCTATAAGTCATTGAATTATTGTCATTGATTTTTAGCGCATTTTTGTAAACTTGTTGACTTAAAGGAAGCTTATTACTGATTCCATGAAAATATTTTGATAAAAACATTTATAGCGTTACCAAGACATGTCAAATTTTGAGTGTTATTTACGTTTTATGTATTGTAAAGAAGATGAAAGCTAAATTAATCATTTTAATAAAAAATTGCTTAACTCACCATCATTATCCTCAAGAATGATTACGTCTTTAACATCAATACCCAAATTATGCTCATTGAAGATTTTAAACAACTGTTCAATATTCTGGCGAGAGTTTCTAGGTCTGATGTAAGCAACATCACCAACATTCCATTTCAAATTGCATCGATCGAACGAAATTAAGCGAACGTCTTGAAAATGATCCTCAGTTGTAGTTCTTCTATTCTCCTTTTAAAAGAAATAAAGTCATGTTTGGAGTGTTTGATTAATGGAGGTGATATTTACCAAAACATGAACATATCCGTTTGATGAAGTTTCTTCGAAAAATTCAGGTCCAAATATATCTACATGCGATGAATTTGATTGAACTCTTTTGACTGACCATTTTGTAGTTTTAATAGAACTTGGCAATGGATTTATCCCCAAAGGAAGCGGTTCAATTTCATTGATTTTATTCCAGAAATTGATAATCCACGGAGAAAGAGTAGCGCCGATACCTAAATCATGCTGATCATCACATAAAGCAATTGGCAAAATTGCTGTTCCTCCAAGTTGTAAAAGTCTTTTATATAGTTTTTTTGCGACAAAATTAAACTTTTGATAGCTAGAATCGCCCAAACCAATAATTCCGAAGTTAACTTTTGATAATGACTCTGACGGAAGGTTTTTACGTAGCAAAAATTTCCAAAACGTTTTCATATTCTCAGGTTCTTCTGCAAATTTATTCCTTATTTAGATATAAACAAACATAAGAAAGTTCATACCACCAGATCCAGTTGTAGAACAAACAAATAGTACGAGCTTCTCGTCAATTAAATTACTGACATCATAATCATTTAAAGGCTTGACGAACCCACGGAAATGATAACGTTTAGACTCACGCCAAATATTTTCACTGACTTCTTGTGCTGTCCCTGTTTCACTTCCATACAAAATTGTTAAATTCCTTTGACACATAACTTATTATAATCTAAAGCAAAAAAAAAAAGATTTTGTTTGTAAACACAAATAAAATTGTAACTTATTAGTTCTGGAGTAAAAAGACTAATGTGGATTAATGTTATGTATCTTCAATTTAATTTTATTTCTTTTCTTAATTTAATTTTGATATTGAATAATGTGTTTGTATCTAAGTAGCTGATTTTTTGTCTATCAAAAAGTTGCGAAACGCAATGCGTTCAGTGCTATATGTTTTTTAATTGCATTTTCTAATAAGTAAGAGAGATTTTATTGATTGATATTGTCCGTACGTCCATAATCTCATGTTAAACTTCTCATAGGAACATTTAAATTTTATTTTTAATGGATTTTTTGGTTAAAAAGGATAGGTAAGCAAAATAGTATCGATAATAAGAAAAAAAAATTTCCAATCAAATATTCTGCAAGGATTCAATTTCAATTTATTCATCCTAAATTGTGCAACATTGTTACTAAACCTTTAAGCGCTGCAATTCTATTCTTAAAATATTAATAATTCTTAAATCTTGTTATGTACGATAATGCGCGTTCTGGTAATCACGAGTGACTAAATGTATACTAGTTTGTTGTTGTACAGCTTAATGCATCTGCAGCTCAGCGGAAATTTGTTTCATTCTAGTTTTTCCCAATAATAAAAAAAAACACAATTAAAGTAGCAAAAATTGCGATTTACAGTAAATAAATAGTGTAGAAATGTATTAAACATACTTTAAAAAATGAAAGGATATATTTCATTTGCAGAAATATAAAATTAATAATCCAAATGAATGTGAAAGTTTTTACTATGGAATATTATTTAAATTAGCTCAAAAACATTTGGAATTGCAGGAACAAGGAGGATATTTAACTAGAAATAATCATCTATCCTTTTGTTTCAAGAAGTTGCATAAATAAATCCAAAAGTATCATTGAGCTAAGACATAGTGCTTCGATATTAAAATTATACGCAATGCCCAGTGCTTCGTTCTCTTCATCACGAACATACAGACGTTCAAAAAGGAAAGGATCGAATCGAAATAACTCAGGTAAATTTTCGGTTCATTTTAGTGAGTAATAAGAAATTTATATTTTGTGGACAGATGGGTATTTCGGGATTACATATATTATATATAAACTTTCAAAAGAACAACAAATAATCAACTTTATCAATTTCCCTATATATATATATATACATATGCAAAATTTGTGATGCAATTTTTGTGTTTATTTAATTTGATTATTTTTAAATTTTAAAGCTACCTGAATTATCTTTGTATTATCTTTCTCTCTCTATATATATATATATATATATATATATATATATATATATGTATAGGGCTCCGATGAAAAAAAAATATTCGTGAGTGACGCTATGCTTCTGCTGGTTTTTAATAAGGGTTCGTTCACTTATTACGTAACGCACCAGGGGGGGAGGGGGGGTCTAAGATTTTGTTACGGTTTGTTACAGGGGGAGGGGGGGGGTCTAAATTTTGTTACGTAACTTTTCAAAAATTATATTTTTTTATCCAAAAGACTAATGCCCGCTTTGCTACACTTTTTCAATGCATTTCTTTTACTGAATCATCTAGCATTCCGTACGATAAATACTGTCCATCGATTGGAGACATTATAAAAGAAAGGGTATGCATTGATTGTAATCATTACTGTGCTTCAATCGATATGTTAAAGAATCACCGAAAAATTATTCACAAACGTATAGTTAATACTAAGAAAAAACCAAGAAAAGTAATATGCAGACGTGAAAAAGAAGTATTAGTACAATTGCAAGAGGATTTGGATTGGGTAGAAGCTGAGAACTTGGATATTGAAGAGGAACGTGCAAATACTGATATTATTGTTGAATATCAAAATGTATTTGCAGTTGAAGATCATTTTCAACCAATTTGGGAAAACGATTAATGATTACAAAACTTATGAGTTTTTTTTGCGTTTAGTTAATAATATGGATGTAAACGATTAATATATTTTTTTATTGCTTTCCTTCTATTTACTTTTACATACTTAAAGGAAGTATAAAAAACATTTGATAAACAATTTAAATGAAAAAAATTCTTGTTACGTTATGGGGGGGGGGGGGTCTAAGATTTTGTTACGCTTTGTTACAGGGGGGGAGGGGGGGTCTAAAAACTCGTTTTTTTTGCGCTACGTAATAAGTGAACGAGCCCTTAGGAGCCGTTCGCATTTTAGAGGGGAGGGGGTGTCAAGAAGTATGTAACGTTCTAACTGTCGCCTGTCTTTAAAAAAAAAGTTCACAAAAAAAATTTTTTTACAAATTCACACCAAAAACATTTTTTTAAATTTTCCACCTTTTTAATGATTTATGAATGTCCAGATCACTTTTGATAGCTGGGCAATTCTCCAGGCAAGTTTTTCAAAAAATCATCCGGAGAATCAAATTTTCTCGAAAATTTTCCATTACCAAGCATAACTTTTTTTGAGCTGAAGTGGCTCGGTGGCGGAATGGTTTAGTACTTCGGTACCTAATTATTGCAATACCGACACAGCGATCATGGGTTCGAGACTGGGTATGGGAAATTTTTCACTTGTCCTTTTTCGAATCATATGTACTGGAAATGAGGCTCACAGCCTTCCTTTGTAGGCTACAGACAGAAATGTCATCAAAGGAGTGGTTCGGATCCCACTATAAATTGTAGGTCTAGGTTTGAGTGCAGTGGTTTGGCGCATCCTCACTCGTTAAACTCTCATTAGCTGCGAATCGCCCTTAAGCATAACTTTTACATTTAAATCGATGTAAAATGGCAAAAACTATTATATTTTATCTATTTAAGTTTTTGAAAGTAGCCAATAATTAAGTTTTTTCAATTTTTTTTGCAAATTACTGTCAGCAAAAGATGGAATAATCATAAGGAGAATCGAAAATTGAATAAAAAGTAAACACTCATTTTTTATGATTCTGCAGAAATGCAGTTTTTGAGCTAATCTATCTAACCATAATCATATCACACTCCAATAATTACTATTTAAAGAGAATTTTTGATTCTTCGGTGGATTTTTTTGCTGACGGTAAAAAAATTAAGCTTTTATTTTGCAAATCCATGAAAAAAATGCAAAGCAAATATTTCATAAAAATTAAATTTTAGTCTTAATTTAACACTTCATGGTTGAATTATTGTTGATTCAGTAAGAATCAATCGTAATAAACAGTTTAAAGTTGCTTTAAACAATCAAAACAAAGAAATTGACATGATATTTACAAAAAAAAATTGAAAGTAAACAGTAAATGACTTTGGATTATAAAAGCTCTTTTTTCAAAAACTCAACTCATCTGGAGAATTGCCCAGCTAAAGCAATACATAGTTTTTGTTATATAAAGTAACAAATCAATAGAAAACTGGTTTACAAGACTTTAAAATACAATCATAATTTGTGGAAATTTTCAAAATTAAATCAATCATAAGTTTAGAAGTAAATCTCTCTTAATCTGTCATTCATATTATGATTAATATGATCCCATCAAAGTTTATTGAATTTTCCAAAATTCGATCGGGTATAATATTTTTCATGACATTTTTGAATTTTCTTCAAAAAAAAAAAAACAAATTTTTGCTTTATATCTTAATCCAATAATTCATGAGAATACATATAGTAAAGTGACACACAATTAGAAATTTTTAAATTTTCAAAATTTCACACTTATTTTTTTTATTAAACCTATTAAAGTTATATATTTTTGGAAAGCTTATCAAATTTCCAATATGATGACTAAAAAAGTTTTGGAAAATTTGCAAGAAATATAGACACTTAATGTAAAAAACGCATTTTATATATGCAAGTATTTAATGTTTTTCATTTTTCTCAGCAACGACTCTATGAAAAGCTTTCAAATTTTGCACACTCATTGCTTACAGAGCAAAAATCGCTATGAAAAAAAACCCAAAAATGTTTACTCTGATGAAATTTCCAAGTACTCCACAAACGAAATTGAAAAAGTCAAATTTAAAGGAACTGAAGCATCAAATTAAAAATTTTTGAATGTATAAAGTTCTTAAATCATGATTCTCATCAGTTCCAATCAAAATTTCGGTCCTAAACTGCATCGGAAGGATGTACTGGGGGTCCTCGATTTGAGATAGATTCTAGATTCTATTTGAGTAGATTCGATTTGAACAGAAAATTTATTACCCACCAAAATATTCGATTTGAGTAGATTTTTTCCTGTTTTCTTCGATTTGAATTGTTTACAAAACAAATATTTTTGATAAAAACATTTCAGAAAATAATTTTAAAATATAAATTTTACTGCGATAAGCGTGAACTTATCATATTGATAGAAAAATCAATACTAAAGTTACAAAATTAAAGTAAAAATCAGACTTCCGTCATTTCATATAACATCCGTTAAATTTGTATTCAAAAAAATTCAAAATTTTTATGACCGTTATAATATTCAAAAATTTTTGACGGTTAAACCAGATTTTAACATGCACTTACTCATTTTGCTCAAATTTTATTGTTAATAAAGTTGAGAATAGATAAAAAAAATATAAAATTAATAATTTATGAAGAACTTTGGGATTTGTGCAGAATTGGTATTAATTAAAATAATTTATTGTTTACATAATGTAACTGTTTTTTGAAATTTGAATTTTCGGCTCTAATATCGAAGAAATCGAAATTAATTTCGAAGAAGTCCGAAACGAAATGGCGGTAGTCTGGTAAAAATTTAAAAAATCGATATAAAATCAACGATTTTAAAAAGTTCAAATTCAAAAACCTTACAAATTGTTCAGTGAAATAACATTTGCAAGGTTCTCATATTTTTGTTTTGTTTCAAAAACATATTTTTTGTGAATTTCCGTTTAAAAACAATATGAATATGCGTTGAAATAAATTAATTTATCTAAAACACAAAGGAAAAGTTAAGAAACGAGGTAAAATGTGCAAAAAATGATCAAGATTTTCATTGTTTTGATTCATTTTTTGGACTCTGGAACAAAACATGTAATTTTGTATGGATTCTTAGCCTCGATTTGAATAGATTCGATTTGAGTAGAAATTTTTTGGAACAAAACAACTACTCAAATCGAGGACCCCCAGTATTGCGAAAATTTCATTTTTCGACAATTTTTTTTTCCAATACAAAGTGGAGTACTTGGAAATTTCATCAGAGTAAACATGTTTGGGTTTTTTTTTCATAGCAATTTTTGCTCTGTCCCCCCCCCCCCTGGAAAAATGTATGAAAAATTTCAGAATTCTCCGCCATCTTGAATTTATTTTGCTTTTTCTGGTTAAACTAATTAAATTTCATAAAAGTGTTATACATTTTTGGAAAGGTCTAGCTAAGTACTTTCATTCACTAAAACCGCATGAGTCTAAGATTAGCACAAGTAAAAGTATAGGAGCTTGAAGTTGGTAACATGAAAAAATTTCAAATTTTCAAAAAAAAAATTTTCAAAAATATTAATTTACAGCTTTTTGTTATTATTAGATGCATAAAAATGGTAAATTTTGTTGTTTTATAACATATTCTAACCAAAAAACATTATCTTATAGCTTAAATATCAAAGAAACAAAAAAAATATTTTCTTTACATTGAGCTGTCTTTTCTTACCAACTTCAAGCTCCTATAACTTTACTTGTGCTAATCGTACACCATTTTTACGTGTGAATCTATTGGTTTTTTTTTTCAGATTGAACAATCAATTTTTCGAATTTTGTGAGGATATGGAATAGCTTAACAGAGCTTAACTTGTTCAAAAATCAAAAGTTTGTTTTTTTTTCTCAACATAAGTGTCATGGTATAAAGTAGCGCAGATTTGGTTGCGGCATTGCTGAGAAAATCACAAAATACGCTTTCTGTAAGCAAGCAAACAAGCAAGAAATCTCCATAACGAGACATTGTAGAGACTTCTAGTTTTTTCCGTGCTGCTCTATAGAAAAGCTGCATTGTTTTTGGCCAAGGTAGTAACAGCCGTTGCTTCAGAAAAAGAAAAAAAAACCTTCCTTTCTTACGAAAACAAGTTCACTGTGATTTTTATAAAATTAAACTTTGGATGAAAATTTTTTTTAGAAAACTTTTATAGAATGTTCGTTAAGCCTCAAACCTTCAAACTTATGCTGAGCGAACACGAATAGACAAAGAGCACGCTATAAACGCGCTCAAATTTAGTGCTGAGCATGCTCGCGTGAGCGTGCTCTTTCATACGAAAAGTGATGCCACTACTTTAAGCTAATGAGCACGTTTTTTGTATAAAGTATTTATACTATAAAGCATTTTTCTTAAATATCTCTTTAATTAAGCATTTGTTCAGCATTAAATGAGTGTTAACTTAAAGCTCTAGAGAGCGAAAATCTATTATATATCTTTCCATCATTTCTAAGCTTGTAATTAGAGGAAAAAATGAAAAAATTAATTTTTTGACTTTTCATAAGGGCAAATCCGCGGACAATAAAAAGCTCCAAATTTTTGTTTTTCTCAAATTTCTCTTCTATTTGGCTATTTAAGTGATATTTTAATAACAAAACATGCGTATTTCCGACAAATGTGCAACTTTCGATAACTTTGGCATGAAATAAATCATTAATTAACGAGATATTTTGATTTTTCTGGCGTCAATCTCTCCTGCAATCGAAATTTATTTTCAAAAAAAAACAAAAATTTTCTTAATTATAAATCTAGACAGCACCAGACTTGTTTTATAGCATTTCCAATTTAATTTTCTATCACATTCTTTTATCATGTGTTAAAAAAGTCACTTAATTAAGAGAAATTAGAGAAAAAAGCGTCAATCTCTCCTGCAAGAACACTTTGTTGCGAAACATCAGTTTAGAGTATTTTTTCGTAACACACGATAAATTTTGAAAAGTTATAAAACGTTAAGATCATAATCAATAGAAATATCTAAATTATGCAGTGACTTACAGCTTGAATAAAGCTTTATTAACGAGAACACACTAATTAATTGCTTAATTAATTAAAAAAGTAAAGAATTGATGAAATAATGTTTATTTTTGTTCAAAAATTGTAACGAGTTTTTATTTTTCAAACTTTTCCAAGTAGAGAAATATTACAACTCGCTTTTTGCCAGTTTCATAATTTTGCGGATTTGCCCATAAAGTTAACTCAGTAACACTTTAAAACTGTAATAAATCTTTGACTAATTAAGCTACAAAGCTGATTTAGCAAGAAAAGGATTTTGAATTCTTTACTAAAAAGAAATAAACATAGTTGTAAGCTCTTTTCTATTTTCAAGAGTTTCAACAAAATATGGTACGACGAAAAAAATTCCTTACATGGATTTGCCCATAACTCAAACCTCATTTACCAACACCTATCAAGTAAAATTTAATTTAAAGCCAGACTAAAGCTAATATTAATAATTGTCCATTCATACTTTGTATTATTTCATTTAATAAATTAACTAAGTACTACTACATTGCGTATAATTCGTTTACCGCACACAGTTTTTTGCTTTTCTTTCTAATATAGAACTTATAAAATTCAATTTTACTGTCAAATATTCTTCGATTATTACGTAATCAAGTAAGCTGTAAATAATATTTTTAAAAAAAAGGAGAAAAGAAAAAAATTGAAAAATAACGAAAATTTGGATTTTGAAAGTATGATTCGTTTAGCCGCACTAAGGAAAAAAAATGTTTTATTTGCCCAAAAACGATAAATTAGTATTTTGTTTCGTGTCCATTCTTACGTATAAGTTCAATTAGACGATTTTGCATGGAATTGACTAAAGTTTCTAATATCTGTGTTGATAAATTTCGCCAGCAATTACGGCAAACCATTCAATAGTCTTTTTACTTTTATGAATTGAAGCATTATCTTGGACAAAAATGAAGTAATCATCCATAAAATCGTCCGTAAATGGAATCAAAACATCGTCCATGAGCTGAATATAGTTGTCTGAGCTCATCCGAGTAGTAACTTTTGCTATCGGGGTCTTACCATGCATTGAGTAATAAAATCCATCAGGTCCATCAAGATTAAATTTTTTCTCATCTGAAAAGACAGCATTTGTCCACTCCGTAGTCCAGTGAGTGTGCTCGTGAGTGTACTCACATTATTTAATAATTTTGATATATTTTGCTGTTGTAAGGTTTTTTAATGTTCTAGAATAAATTTTGTTAATAATCTGAAAAAGGCACTTAAGAAAATTTTGGATTTTACCTGGATTCGAACTCACGATCGCTCTGTTGCTAAGACTATTACCGTAACCATAACACCACTGCTGCAATTTATCTATATAATTCTTTATGGCAATAACTCATATAAACTTTAAAAAAGTTAAATACTTCGAAATTGATCTCAAAATGTTTTTAGCGCATTTTTGAAACTTCTTTCAAAAAGGTAGCTTAATAATTCACTTTGATCGGCTGCTCGACTGGTTCTGAGATCTAATTAACCAGACATCGTAGAGAGCTCTAGTTTGTTTTATTGGCTCGGGTCCATTGTTTTATTGGCTTTAAGATTATTTTCGAACCGTAAAACAATGGATAAATACAATAATTAATGATTTTTTTATTTCATAAACAAAACCACGTGATGAGTACGTTTAAAAATTTGAATTTTTTTCTACAGCTTTAAAAATTGTTCAGGGTATGTTCAGAGATTCAAATTTATTTCTACCGTTAAATATTTGAATCTCAAAAAACCGTTAAATGTAAATTTCGCAAACATATTCACAATGTGCTCACGAGTATGCTTAAGAGTGTACTCAAGAGAGCATGCTTAGATTTAGGAATTGAATATGCTCTCGAGCATGCTCAATAAAATAAAAAAATTTCAAAAAATTTGTTTTTTTGTGAGCATATTCACAATGTGCTCACAAGCATGTTCAACTGAGTGTGCTCAGGTGAGCACGTTAAATGATGATTTTGAGCATGCTCATTAACGTGCTCACAAAAGTGAGCACGCTCTTTGTCTATTCGGGTTAATTCGCTTCGCAATATCCCGATTGGACAGCTCAATCGATTTTAATTGATCAATTACAGCCTTTTCAGTCACATTTAAGTATTTTCCTTTTGGCATGATTACATTTTTGTTTTTTAATCAGTAATCTAATGAATTAATAGCGTTACTTTATAGATAATAATCTATTTAATTAAAATTACTTACAAATTAACTTTAATTGTTTACAATATCCACTGAAAATAATTTTTTTTCTTGAGTGCGGCTAAACGAATCATACTTTCAAAATCCAAATTTTCGGTATTCTTTTCTCCTTTTTTTAAAAATATTATTTATAGCTTACTTGATTACGTAATAAATGAAGAATATTTGACAGTATAATTGAAATTTTATAAGTTGCATATTAGAAAGAAAAAAGCAAAAAACTGTTTGCGAACTAAACGAATCATACGCACTGTACTATCTCCCATATTACTGTGAACATGCCGTTTAATGCCGTCTTCGAGATATTTGCGATCATATTTACATAAATTTTCATACAAAATTTGTTCATGCACAATATTTTTTGATAAACTTTTAGTAAAGGGGCCATTCACTTATTACGTAACGCTTTTAGGGGGAGGGGGGGTCTAAGATTTTGTTACGGTTCAAACAAGGAAATTTTTTTTTTCATACAAATTTTGTTACGAGGGGGGGGGGGTCTAAGAAGTTATTTTTTCGCGTTACGTAATAAGTGAACAGTCCCAAAGAGAAATTAACAAAAAAATTCAATTTCCTAATGTGTCGAAAGAATCCAATGTTAGTAAAGAGAACAGAGTCCGTTACAAACAAAAAAAAATCAAAATTTTCGCGCGGTATTTTTTTAAAATTTCAAAATAAGAAAGTCCGTTACTTTTTATTTTTTTTTAAACTAGCAGTTTTTTAAAGCATAAACATTTAAGGAATGCAATTTCATCACAGTGATTATCTTAATCATAAAAACTAGTAGGAATGTACACTAAAATTACAAATTACTCGAAAAATAATAATTCACAACGAATTTTTTTAAAAATAAGAACTTCGAAGATACGATTTTCGAAAAATAAGAACCTCAAAAATTCGAAGTTCGAATAATAAGAACTCAAAAATTTCTGTTTGCTAGCATTGGGAAAGAATATTGTGCACAAGGAATTTTAAACACTTTTTAAAATCTGAATCATTGTGCCAAGATAAAATAGATGAGCTCATACAAAGTATACTTGACCATACTCGACCATACTATTTTTGTATACTAATACAAACAAAAAAAATTTTAAATTTAAAATTTTCAAGTTTTCATTTAAATACCGATAAATGCATAACTATTCGACTTAAGTCAGTTACTTTAATTAATAGTAAAGCATTTGCAATATTCCTGTACCAACAAAACATAACAGAAAGTTGAAAATTTTGCAAAACAAAAATTGAAAGTTTTCTTTCATAGTTTTAGTGTTTACAGAAAATTCAAAATTTTGTCCCTTAAAAACAGTGATATTTTTGTATGAGCTCATCTATATATCTTGCATTGTGCTTTGCTAAAACTTCATTACAAAATACAAAAAATATATTAAACTGTTTGTTTCTCAATTCTTTATAATGTCTTGTAGTCAAATAAGAAAAGATTATTTAAATTAGTTAAAAAAATAGTTAAAACTTAAAAAAAAAAGTTTTTAAAACGTAAACTCATCTTAAAAACATTAAAATTATTTTTATAGGAAAAAATCAAGCTCAAGTCGACTCAAACCCTAACGACTTCGAGCTCTGTTTTTACATTCCATCCGTGCTGTCTTATAAAAGAGCTATATTGTTTTTGGGCAAGAGAGGAACAGCCGTAGCTTACGAAAAGAAGACATAAAAAAAGGGCACGAATAAATTTAATTTTGATTTTAATTCATTACTCGTTTTCATTAATAAATTCCAATTGTATTTATTTGTTTTTTTAAATGGAATTTATACAAGAGTATAGTATATTATAAAAATTAAATTTTTTTTTCCACATTCTAGATGCGTATGAACCACCGAATTGCCAAAATATTCCCGCACCAAATGTTGGAACTGCTCCATCTATAAATAATTCATCTTCAAATCCGGATACTTCCAGTTCGTCAAGTTCGAGTGGTAGTAATCCAACAATTCCAAATACAACTTCGGCATCAACCGCCGCGTCAACAAATGTGTCATCAAATGAAGCTCTACCAAGCAATTCTAGTTCGTCTTCATCTGCAAATTGCCATCACTCGCCATATGATTTAAGAAAAAAGTCTACAACATGTAATAATAATAATAATACTAATACAAGTAGTGAAAATTGGCTTGCCTGCATTGCTGGTTCGAGCAGTAGTAGCTCAACATGCACATCTGGTCAACTCTCGTCTTCACACAGCCATCACCATTATTCTTTAGCTAATAATAATAATAATGCAAATTTTGATTATCTCCCCGCAAGAAAACGTCCGAGACGAACGTATTCCAGCAATAATGATGCATCTGCTACGACAATGAGTTCTGCACATTATCTTCAATATGAAATGCCCGATGAAGTTTTGCTGACAATATTTAGCTACTTATTAGAACAAGATTTATGTCGCGTATCATTAGTATGTAAACGTTTTCAAATCATCGCGAATGATTGTGGATTGTGGAAGAGACTTTATCAAAATGTCTACGAATATGATATGCCATTATTTAATCCCGAGCATAATATTATGAATTTTGTTAAAGTAGAAGACTGCGACTTTACTAATCCATGGAAAGAAAGCTTTCGACAATTGTATCATGGTATTCACGTTCGTCCCGGATATCAGGATAAGAAATATCAAGGCAGAAATATTTTGTATTTTAATACTGTACAAGCAGCACTTGATTATGCTGACGAGAGAAATGCTGCACATAATTCAAGTGGAAATGCTCAAATAAATGGAGTCAATAGTGCCAATAATAATAGCTTATCGATACCACCTACATCACCTAATATTTTATTAAATGACGAAAATTCATCTGTTCAAGGCCTGCCTAGTACTTTAATATTTTTACATACCGGAATATATCGCGGTGAATTTCTTGTGATTGATTCCGATATCACATTAATTGGTGCTGCGCCTGGAAATGTTGCAGAATCTGTAATTTTAGGTATGCGTCAATTTTTTATCATTAAATATTTGAGTAACTTTATAAATATTATTTCATTAGAACGCGAATCAGAATCAACAGTTATGTTCGTTGAAGGCGCTAAAAACGCTTATATCGGACATATGACTCTTAAATTCTCTCCCGACATCACAAGTACTGTACCACACCATAAGCATTATTGTCTCGAAATAAGTGAAAATTGTAGTCCAACAATAGATCATTGCATCATCCGAAGTACTTCTGTTGGTAAGAAATTACTCTCAAATTATTGAAATTAAGTTTATCTTGATTTTATTACGTTTTTTTCTTAACTTACCCGAATAGACAAAGAGCACGCTATGAGCGCGCTCAAATTTAGTGCTGAGCATGCTCGCGTGAGCGTGCTCTTTCATACGAATAGTGATACCACTACTTTACGCTATTTTAACAAATTTTGAGCATACTCAAATTGTTGTGTGACATGCAACATTTTTTATGTCATATGATGTGACATTCTGAGTACACTCAGTGAGTGTATTTCATTAACACAACATATTTCCAAGCAGGGGCGTAGCCAGAAAATTTTTAAGGGGGGGCCCATTTTCGAAAATTAAAAAACCGTTATTTTGTATCCTTAAATCTATAATTCATTCTTCATAAGTTTAAATATTTAATTCATTATTCATACATTAAATTTAATTTTTCGTGCTGATTTTGACATTTCTTTCATAACTTCCTCTACATTAACTGGTTCTTCTCTACAAATACTTAATAAAACAATTATCAGATTTTCGGAGGGGGGAGGGGGGGCCCTATGTCCCCCCCCCTGGCTACGCCCCTGTTTCCAAGTGGTGGATAAAATCACACATGTGTTTTTACAATTCTGTGGCTGTTTGAAGTTGAAAATGAGTGAAAATTTTGATTTTTTCACGTCTGATTTAAACTGTCACATCTTTTTAATAATTAAAGATATTAAGAAACGCTTTTCGGTTTCTAATAGTGTCATGTAAGAGCTTTGTTTTGATAATGTACAAAATTTGTAATTTTGTAGTTTTGGTACCAGTATGGGAAGAAATGTGTGAAAATTCTATGAAAAATATATTCAAGCATGCCGCAAAGATCTTAAATGACCACTTTTCAGTCATATAAGCACATTGTGTTTTAGTCTCTGTCTTCTAGTTTTCAAAAATGTATAAACATCAAAATTTGTTTGGTACTTTTTTGAGATAAATTGATTTAAATAAGTAGTAGAATAATTCAACAAAAAATAAAATATCTTATAAAAGTTACGAAACAACAACAAAAAATGAGTTTTGTGTTATTTTTCGATGACAAACAATGTTTAAAAACAAATTGCGAAGAAATTTTTTCAAAAACTTCAAAATCTGCCGATATATAGGGTACTTTTCATATCTGACGACTTGTATGGTTTTCGCATCACCCAAACTGCTTTTATTTTTGTGTACCTCAATATTTTTTAATTCTGTTTACAGTTTATTGTAGCTTAATTCTAGACCTTTCTAAGGATATATAATACTTTGTAGTTTAGTATTATCTTGGTCATGAATTTAGGACTTGTTTGTGAACGACCGTAAACAACAAAAAATCTCAAAAACGTCATTTCTAGAAATATCACTTAGAAACAAAATTAGGTATTGTTTTTAGGTTTTTCATGATGACATATGATATTTATGACTATTAAAACTTAAAAAAGTGTATTTCATAAACTTTTTGCGATCTCAGGTAGCCTGTTTAAGTTCGACCCTAGTAGTATCTATTTGATCAGTATTACTTCAGTATTAGACTAATTTGAAGATTTTTAATGATTTATATTTTATATTTTAACATAGTTGAGCCAAAATAAATAAGTTTTAAGTACTTTTGTTTGCTAAAATGTAATTTTTGAATGTTTTAATAAAGACCAGTTTTCGTCGGTCTCATTCAATGCACTCAAGAAGTAACAATAACAAAGTTTCATGCAAGGACTATGCATCATTTTAAAGGTATTGATTTAATCTAGCAATAATTGAAAACAAATTGCAAAAATATTAATTCTGAAAAAAGTTCTAGTCATTTTAGTGAATCAGAAAACATACTGAACCGCAACCAGAATAGGTAAAAACACAAAAATCGCAAAAAACTTTATGAAATACACTTTTTTAAGTTTTAATAGTCATAAATATCATATGTCATCATGAAAAACCTAAAAACAATACCTAATTTTGTTTCTAAGTGATATTTCTAGAAATGACGTTTTTGAGATTTTTTGTTGTTTACGGTCGTTCACAAAAAAGTCCTAAATTCATGACCAAGATAATACTAAACTACAAAGTATTATATATCCTTAGAAAGGTCTAGACTTAAGCTACAATAAACTGTAAACAGAATTAAAAAATATTGAGGTACACAAAAATAAAAGCAGTTTGAGTGATGCGAAAACCATACAAGTCGTCAGATATGAAAAGTACCCTATATATCGGCAGATTTTGAAGTTTTTGAAAAAATTTCTTCGCAATTTGTTTTTAAACATTGTTTGTCATCGAAAAATAACACAAAACTCATTTTTTGTTGTTGTTTCGTAACTTTTATAAGATATTTTATTTTTTGTTGAATTATTCTACTACTTATTTAAATCAATTTATCTCAAAAAAGTACCAAACAAATTTTGATGTTTATACATTTTTGAAAACTAGAAGACAGAGACTAAAACACAATGTGCTTATATGACTGAAAAGTGGCCATTTAAGATCTTTGCGGCATGCTTGAATATATTTTTCATAGAATTTTCACACATTTCTTCCCATACTGGTACCAAAACTACAAAATTACAAATTTTGTACATTATCAAAACAAAGCTCTTACATGACACTATTAGAAACCGAAAAGCGTTTCTTAATATCTTTAATTATTAAAAAGATGTGACAGTTTAAATCAGACGTGAAAAAAATCAAAATTTTCACTCATTTTCAACTTCAAACAGCCACAGAATTGTAAAAACAGCATCAAATGACCTGAAATTTGGCATAGAAAACAATTTTGATGTCCTCTACAAGAAAAAATAACCCTGAAAGCGTAGTTCTAAACTGTTCAAAAATTTCCTTAATTGCCGCTTTTTTTCAATTTTGCCCCATAGTGTATTGCATTAAAAAATATACATTTGTAACGATTTCCTACACTTTGAACTGTTACTGCAATTTTATATTTCAATTTGCTACGGCAAATTGGCTCGAATGATGAGCCCATTTATTAAAGCATAGTCCAAAGTGTAACAGAAATACATACGTTTTGTCCTTACGAACAGTTGATTTCCGTAACTCTGCACAGTTCATTACCCAGTGTATATCAATGCAAAGCACCCAGCCACAATTATGAAATTTTTAGCGCATTTTTGAAACTTGTTTCTGAAAGGTAGCTTTATATCTCACTTTGTCTGTTCGTTCGGGCGGAGAAAAACTTTTTAACTAGACATCGTTGAGAGTTCTAGTTTGTTTTATTAGCTCAGGTCCATTGTTTTATTTTCGGGAAACGCATTTAAAAGTCTTGAAACAGTGTTTTTGTACTATAATTAATGATTTTTATATTTCATATGAAAAAACGTGATGAGAACGTTTAGAAATTCGAATTTATTTCTACAGTTGAAAAATTTTGAATCTCAAAAAACCGCTAAATGACCAAGCCTTTTTATATGAAATTTTTTTTTGCAACTGTTTTTTATACTATAATTAATGCTTTTACTGTAATTTTTGGCAAGATACTTTCAAAAGCATACGACCGTTACAAAATTTGAACTTCAGAAAACCGTTAAATGATTAACAATTAATATAGGAGAATGAAAGATATTAAATTGTTAAATATACTATAATTAATGATTTTTTGTTTATCTTTTGGCGGGAAGCTTTCAAACACTTACTGACCGTACTTTTTATATATAGAAATTCATTGGAACAAATTAAAAAATAAAGCCTTTCTATATAAGCATTCATTGTAATTATTTGCTAATTGCACTAAAATTAATGATCTTCTAAACTTCTAATGATCTGTAAATGAACGCAAAATAAAAAGATAATCAAATTGTGTGAATATGATACTAATCGCTAACACAAAAATGAGCTTAAGTCCCACGATCAATAACACGAGGACTTCTGTAATTTTTTTTATATAAAAACAAAAATTAAGATTGCATTTTAAAAAAATGAGAATAAACCCTAATTTTTTTCACTATTTTTTAAACCTCAAAAAATATTATACTGATCTCCAAAACGCCATCCTTAAGCCCGACCGAAGCTACCTTAAAAACAAGTTTCAAAAATGTGCTAAAAATTCATTTAAATGACGAAAACACGTAGTAAAAACTCATCGGAAGAATCCGCCATTAATAAATGTGAAAATTTATAGAGAAAACAATTTTTGTCTATTTTTCAACAAATTATTAGTTCTTGATTTTTGTTTTTCAAAGAAAGCACTTTTAATAAAAAATTTCAAAAACTTCAATACAGCAAACATTATATATCTCTATGAAGGCAATTGCCTTAAAATACTTTTCTTGTTCTAAGTTTTAGGCATGATTAAACTTTACTAATCTTAGTTTTTTGGTCGAAACATTTCTAAACCTTAACTGGATCTTGTCTTTTAGTTCCGAATATGAGTTGAACCGTTTTAAACATTAATTAACTGATCGACTTGTTTAATTTAATTTAGTTGGAGCGGCTGTTTGTGTTAACGGTGTCGCTGCAAATCCTCATATAAAATATTGCGATATAAGTGATTGCGAAAATGTAGGTCTGTATGTGACAGATTATGCTCAAGGAACATATCAGCACAACGAGATTAGTCGTAACGCATTAGCTGGAATCTGGGTGAAAAATTTTGCGTCTCCAATTATGCGCGACAATCACATACATAACGGCAGAGATGTCGGGATTTTCACGTTCGACAATGGAATGGTAGGAAATTAAAAAAAAAATCTTACTTGTTCACCTATTTATAACTTTAATTTATCAATTACAGGGATACTTTGAAAAAAATGATATTCATAATAATAGAATTGCGGGCTTTGAAGTAAAGGCAGGAGCAAATCCAACGGTTGTCAAATGTGAAATCCATAATGGACAAACCGGTGGAATTTACGTGCATGAGAACGGCTTAGGACAATTTATCGAGAATCGAATACATAGCAATAATTTTGCCGGTGTATGGATAACATCTAATTCAAATCCTACAATACGTAAAAATGAAATTTACAACGGTCATCAAGGTGGCGGTATGCTAATCATAATAAATGAACTCTCACATTCTTCAATATTTAGATTTGAACAAAAAAAAATGTTTAAGCATCATATTTGGTCTTATTCCTAATTTTTCTTTTAATATCTTCCTAGAAACACAAAAACAAATATTAATCAAACTAATTTTAGGTTATAACGTAGAAAAATTAAAGGAGAACAGAGAAAAAATTGAAAATAATTTGTTGTGATCTTGTAAAGTTAGACAATAATTCGGAATTAGATATTTTGACAGGATAGAACAAATTCTTTCATCTGGCATTTAAAATACATAGTTTGATCAACATGAAATTTTTGAATTTTTGAACATTTTTTCAAATCTGAATCATTGTACCCGTGTGAACTTGACCACAAAATCCCAGCCATTTTTTTTTTGTTCTTAAGACAAGTTTTTTCTTGCATACAATATTGTATGCAAGTATTGAAAATATCGGCCGATTTTTTGCCATATTTGAGATTTGAACTTGCAACCCTTGGCAAAAAAAAACATTTCGAAGCGACTAACCCCTTGAGCTCCTGACCCGAATAATAATTTATTAAATGTGTGGTTAAATCAAATATATAAATTATTTATTTCTATATAAAGGCAATTCTACGAGTAAAGGGAACTGCAGAAATTTGCATTGTAAGTTTTCGCTACTTGCAAAAATTTAATTTTTTTTTATCCGTTATATTTCTTGGATAAAAATATTGTGTTTCTTTTTATAAAGTGTATTTGTCCTTGATTGTTACGTTATTCGTTCTTAAAGTGTAAACTTTAAGGCAAAAAGAGGCCTGAAAAACTAATTAAAATAAGTTTTTCCATGTGTAAAGAACAGAGATCGAAGCCGATTTTTTCGGCTTAACTCAATTTTTGATTTTTTTGATAGAAAAAAGCCATTTAACACCCATTTTAAGTATTTAAATTGAACTTTACATGCTTTACTATGATTCTGTGAAATATTTTTTCAGCATGTAGCTATAGTAAGCTCTGAATTTCAATTTAGCCGATTTTAAGCCGATCGGCTTAAATTTCGGCTTAACATTCTTTAACTTGAAATTCTGAGCTCACTATAGCTACATGCTGAAAAAATATTTCACAGAATCATAGTAAAGCATGTAAAGTTCAATTTAAATACTTAAAATGGGTGTTAAATGGCTTTTTTCTATCAAAAAAATCAAAAATTGAGTTAAGCCGAAAAAATCGGCTTCGATCTCTGGTAAAGAATATTACAGAAAGAAATTTCAACGGTTATTTTAAATTTAAATTTTTGTAAGCGTTTTAAGTTTAGTCGAAAATATGTAAAATTTGCACCGATTGACACAGTTTTTGACTCAAAAGCGATATTTTTTTATCCGCCAATTTTCTGTCAAGCTGAGATTTGAACTCATGACTTAATAAAAAAAAATTACAGAAGTCCTCGTGTTTTGATCGAAACGCATTTTTGTGTTAACCCGCTAAAAGTTGCACTCCAAAAGCATTATAGTATAATTAACAATTTTTGCAATTAATTTCCATATAGATGTTGAAATTATAGAGGGAGTCAAAAAATTTTAACAGGTTGCACAGTGCTGAAATAAAAAAAAATCATTAATTATAGCACAAAATATTGTTTTATGCTTCAAAAATATTCGATTGACCAATAACTCGATAGAACTGCGCTAATAAAACAAATCAATGCATTGGCTCAAACAGTAAAATCGGGCGATGAAAAAATATCGGCCGATATTTTAAAAAATTTCTTTCTTGTGAAGTATGCAAATTATATTAAAAAAGATACTTCTTATAAAATTTTTATATTTGTATAGAAATAAATAATAATTTATAAATGTCATTTACCCAAACATAAATCAAATCTCAAACATGGCAAAAAACGGCCGATATTTTCAATACTTGCATACAATCCCGAATAGACAAAGAGCGTGCTCACTTTTGTGAGCACGTTAATGAGCATGCTCAAAATCATCATTTAACGTGCTCACCTGAGCACACTCAGTTGAACATGCTTGTGAGCACATTGTGAATATGCTCACAAAAAAACAAATTTTTTGAAATTTTTTATTTTATTGAGCATGTTCGAGAGCATACTCAATTCCTAAATCTAAGCATGCTCACTTGAGTACACTCTTAAGCATACTCGTGAGCACATTGTGAATATGCTCACAAAAAAATCAATTTTTTTAAATTTTTCATTTTATTGAGCATGCTCGAGAGCATACTCATTCTCGAGAGCATGCTCATGAGCATACTCAATTACCAAACTTAAGCATGCTCACTTGAGTACACTCTTAAGCATACTCGTGAGCACATTGTGAATATGCTCACAAAAAAAACAATTTTTATAATATTTCACATTTTATTGAGCATGCTCATGAGCATACTCAATTCTCAAATTTAAGCATGCTCACTCTTAAGCATACTCGTGAGCACATTGTGAATGTACTCTAAAAAAACATTTTTTTTAAAGATTTCACATTTTACTGAGCGTGCTCAAGAGCACATATATTGAGCATACTCTGAGTATGCTCATGATTTTGTATATACTTCACAAGTCAAAGTTTCTAGAATTATATATAGTTATCTACTTTTTAACTATAAACATTGTTTAAAAACATTTTGAGATCAATTTCGAAGTATTTAACTTTGTTATAGTTTATATATGAGTTTTTGCCATAATAAATTATGAAGGTAAATTGCAGCAGTGGTGTAATGGTTATGGTAATGGTCTTAGCAACAGAGCGGTCGTGAGTTCGAATCCAGGTAAAATCCAAAATTTTCTTAAGTGTCTTTTTCAGATTATTAATGAACAAAATTTATTCTAGAACATTAAAAAACTCTACAACAGTAAAATATATCAAAAAAAAATAATTTCAAAATTAAATTCAAAATATTTCAAAATAATGTGAGTACACTCAGTGAGCATGCTCAGAGTACACTCACGAGCACACTCACTGAGTGTACTCAAATGTCACATCATATGACATAAAAAATGTTGCATGTCACACAACAATTTGAGCATGCTCAAAATTTGTTAAAATAACGTGCTCAGAGCATGCTCAAAAAACGTGCTCATTAGCGTAAAGTAGTGGCATCACTTTTCGTATGAAAGAGCACGCTCACGCGAGCATGCTCAGCACTAAATTTGAGCGCGCTCATAGCGTGCTCTTTGTCTATTCGGGAATATTGTATGCAAAAAAAAACTTGTACAAAAAATTGGTTGACAGATATCAGCCGATAAATTATACGTAAGAACAAAAAAAAAATATAAAAACATAAAAATATCGGCCGATTGTGGCTGGGATTTTGTGACCAAGTTCACACGGGGAATCGTTGTCACAATTAAAAAAAACTAATCGTTATAATTTCTCTACTTGTAGTGTATATCTTTGGAGAAGGGCGAGGATTAATTGAGCACAACAACATCTACGGAAATGCTCTTGCTGGCATTCAAATTCGTACTACTTCCGATCCAATTGTAAGACATAATAAAATATATCATGGTCAGCACGGTGGGATTTATGTTCATGAAAAAGGTCAAGGACTAATAGAAGAAAATGAAGTCTATGCAAATACTCTAGCCGGGGTTTGGATCACAACAGGAAGCACTCCCGTGCTAAGACGAAATCGTATTCATTCCGGAAAACAGGTTGGGGTTTATTTCTATGATAACGGTCACGGAAAGCTTGAAGATAATGACATCTTCAATCACTTATATTCTGGTGTTCAAATTCGAACTGGATCTAACCCAATTATAAAAGGGAACAAAATTTGGGGTGGTCAAAACGGAGGCGTTTTAGTCTATAATGGAGGTCTTGGGATTTTAGAGCAAAATCAAATTTTCGATAATGCGATGGCTGGTGTCTGGATTAAAACCGATTCTAATCCTACGTTAAGCCGAAATAAGATTTATGATGGCAGAGATGGAGGAATTTGTATTTTCAATGGAGGCAAAGGAATCTTAGAAGAAAATGATATTTTTCGTAACACACAAGCCGGTGTTTTGATTTCTACTCAATCTCATCCCGTACTAAGACGAAATAGAATTTTTGATGGTTTGGCAGCTGGCGTAGAAATAACAAATAATGCAACAGCCACTTTAGAAAACAATCAGATTTTTAATAATAAATTTGGAGGACTATGTCTTGCAAGCGGTGTTCAACCTATCATACGTGGTACAAATAAAATTTTCAATAATCATGATGAAGTAGAGAAAGCTGTTAGCAGTGGTCAATGTCTTTACAAAATATCATCCTACACATCATTTCCAATGCATGACTTCTATAGATGCTTGTCATGCAACACTACTGATCGTAATGCAATCTGTGTTAATTGCATCAAGATTTGTCATCAGGGTCACGATGTGCAGTTTATTCGACACGATAGATTTTTTTGCGACTGTGGAGCAGGTGAATTTTTTAAGTTCATCACAATTAAATAATAAGTTAATAGCATTTTTCTCTATTTTTGTTTAGGCACACTTACCAATCAGTGTTCACTTCAAGGCGAACCGACTCAAGATACTGATACTCTTTACGATTCAGCAGGTGATAACGTCTTTTTACTTTGCAGTATAAGGATTTATTTATTTTTTGTTTCTCCTTCACAGCTCCAATGGAATCTCAGACTAAGGAAAATTGGTAAAAAGTTACAGTTACGAAGTTAATATAAAAAAATCACAGACTTTGATCTTTTGACTTATTTTTTATTTCAAAAATGAAAAAATTATAGTGTTAATAGATATTAGTTTTAGAGTGTATTCTAACATGTTTAAAGACTTTTTTTAACTTAGTAAATTTTTAATCCAAAATTTCAGAGATCGAAGCCGATTTTTTCGGCTTAACTCAATTTTTGATTTTTTTGATAGAAAAAAGCCATTTGACACCCATTTCAAGTATTTAAATTGAATTTTACATGCTTTATTATGATTCTGTGTAATATTTTGTCAGCATGCAGCTATAGTGAGCTCAGAATTTCAATTTAGCCGATTTTAAGCCGATCGGCTTAAATTTCGGCTTAAAATCGGCTAAATTGAAATTCTGAGCTCACTATAGCTACATGCTGACAAAATATTACACAGAATCATAGTAAAGCATGTAAAGTTCAATTTAAATACTTGAAATGGGTGTCAAATGGCTTTTTTCTATCAAAAAAATCAAAAATTGAGTTAAGCCGAAAAAATCGGCTTCGATCTCTGCAAAATTTAAGTCTACATTTTTCATATATTTTACACCATACAATCAACAACTTAGGAAAGGGGCGTGACAGCTCAAGCAAGAGAATTTTTCTTCTTATAAATTTTGTTACAAGGGGATTGGGAGGTAGTCTTAAACGTAATTTTTTCACGTTACGTAATAAATGAACGGCTCCTCAAAGATTTTTAGCTCTTAATTTTGGTGCTTTCCTTTAAATGGGCGATTTCAAATACAAGATTTTTCTAAAAGTGAATATATTGACACAATCCCCCCTCCCCCTGATTACGCTCCTAAGGGAATCGTCTATATTTATTACCATGTTTCCACTAACAAGTTTCCCAGAACGGTTTTTTTCTTCCCTTCTATTTAAGTATTCAAAAGCGATAAGGATTAATATGTAGAAAAATAATTTTTCGATAAATATGAGGTGTCACTTTTTACAACCAGTGTTGCATTCTGGCCATTTGTCTGCATCAGATAAATTCTGAGACAGAAATTTCTTCATAAAGATCGATTCTATATGAAGATAGAAAATCTAATCTACACAAAGATTATTTCTACATAAAGAATCTGTCTACATAAAGATTCGATGTAGATGTCTACAATTCTACATTCTTCTCTGATGTAGACCTGGAAAAAATGTAGAATTGTAGACATCTACATCGAATCTTTATGTAGAAATAATCTTTGTGTAGATTAGATTTTCTATCTTCATATAGAATCGATCTTTATGAAGAAAGTTTCTTAGCTAGACAAAAACTATTGAAGAATCTACATTCTTCATTTAGTGTAGACATCTATATTTGCAACACTGTTTACAACCTATGATTTTAATATAAATTTCTAAATCGATGTACAGCTTGCTGTTTACTTAATCTTTTACAAAAAAATTATATATAAACTACAATTAAAGTTCTGAAATATCCCGCCCACACAATCATAAATTAAACAAAGGAACAGTAATTAAATTAACGAAAGTATGCATTTTTAAAATCATAAATATAAAAGAATGTTTGATGCAATATATATAGATATATATATTAGTTTGATGGATGTCGAAAATTGATTACATGATATAACATGACATCACAGATTTTTGTATTATAATTTGAATTTTTTCGAACTTATTTCCCAGCAGTAAATTCTAACGCTAATTAAACATTTAAACTCTTGCAATATTCTATTGGTCAGTATTAAATACAGATTCCACTATTTGGAAATAATATATAAAGGAAAAAATCAAAAAAACTATTCAGCATCATGTTTGCAGTGTGTAGCAATGTTGATTAAGCTTTTTTGACTGCTAGATCTGATAGATTTAGTTTACTTTTATCAAAAAATTTAGAAATCATTGCTCGTTTTTTTTGTTGTAATTGCTTACTACACTAATTGCTACTTAGAGTTGTACGTACACTTCCAATTTATGGATTAAACAATAAACAGTTCCATTTGTTACCCAGATCTCAACACTAAAGGATTATCAGTAAACAATTTAAAAAGAATCTCGTTTTAAATTGAATTGAAACAAAAAAAAAATATCCATATCAAAAACCATTTATCTATCAATTTTAATGTGCATCTGAAATCTAATTATTGTGCCATAAATTTTCGTATCTAAATCATCAAAATTATAATTAAAAAATTAAAATTCCTTTCTGATTTCTCAAGTTTGTCAAACGGGGTTTAAAAAGGATATGTAAATAATCAACAAAAAAAAAAAACTCCAACATTTTACTTGATAAAACAAAACAATTTATGCATTCAAATGCATGAAAAATAAACAAAAAAAAATTATCAATTAAATAAAAGAGCTTCATAATGCAATAAGCATAAATTTTCTTAAATGTCAAACAAAAAATAATAATTAACAGCTCTTCTTTTCCATAATAATATATTACAAGCTCATTCAATAAAAAACGAAATCTACAAATAAAAGTATAAACTTTGAAGGCATTTCAAGTGGAATAAAATAATAATAAATGAAAATTGATTTAAAACTTAAAAGTACTATTGTAGTTATAAGAAGGACAGATATAAAAAATAAGGTATTATTTTATAACATTTATAATTATGTAATCTTTTGTTTGTTTTTTTTTTTTAAATATGCCTTCATAATTAAATGAACAAAATTGCTCTCTCTTTTTCTGCGTTCATTCTTGTTGTGTGAAAAAGTGTTTGTGCTTTCAACAAAGTTATAATGACAAAAAAGTTAAAAAATCTTACAAAAAAACAAAAAAGATGGCAATATTATACAACAATTTAAAAAAAGTGTCAGATACATATATGTCACAAAAATGATAATAAATATTATGCAATTATCATAATATATTGTGTTTTATTGACTTGATACAGTTTAATTTAATAACTGGCAATAATATTGAATAAATAATCAGTGTTGCATTCTGGCTATTTGTCTGGATCAGATAAATTCTGAGACAGAAATTTCTTCATAAAATCGATTCTACATGTAGAAAGAAATAAACCATCTACATGTAGATTGTGTCTACATGTAGAATCTGTCTACATGTAGATTTAATGTAGATGTCTACGATTCTACATTCTTCTCTGATGTAGACCTGGAAAAAATGTAGAATTATAGACATCTACATCGAATCTACATGTAGACAGATTCTATGGTTTTTTACACGCTTTTTATTGAGTTGCTCTGTTGGTTTCTTTGTATGTCACGTTCAAATCTTGCAATCGATTTTTCGACCACTTCTATTGCTCCAATCGAGCTCAAATTTTGTATACACACGTATTCCCGGTGACAATACAATATTTTAACACTTTAGAACCACACAAATGCTTAATTATAGTACAGTACATTCTGAGACAGAAATTTCTTCATAAAATCGATTCTACATGTAGAAAGAAATAAACCATCTACATGTAGATTGTGTCTACATGTAGAATCTGTCTACATGTAGATTTAATGTAGATGTCTACGATTCTACATTCTTCTCTGATGTAGACCTGGAAAAAATGTAGAATTATAGACATCTACATCGAATCTACATGTAGACAGATTCTATGGTTTTTTACACGCTTTTTTTTACACGCTTTTTATTGAGTTGCTCTGTTGGTTTCTTTGTATGTCACGTTCAAATCTTGCAATCGATTTTTCGACCACTTCTATTGCTCCAATCGAGCTCAAATTTTGTATACACACGTATTCCCGGTGACAATACAATATTTTAACACTTTAGAACCACACAAATGCTTAATTATAGTACAATTTTAATAAAACTTTTTTATATGGGAAAAAAATCCAATGTCAATGATATAAAATTTTGATTTGTTTAAAATATTATACTTGAAATGCTCAAAAGTCATTTATATGATTCACTATAGTTTAATTAATATTACTAATTATTAATAATACTAATAATTGGAGAAGCTGAAGATTTTCTGGGAGGATGAAAAAATTGACAAGTAATTTTTTCATGAATATCCGTAAGTGAAAATTTGAATTTTCAAAAAAACCGTTAATCACAAGTCCGTTACGAATTAATGCAAAATAACTATCAATATGTGATGTGCATTTAGCACACATAATTTGAGCATAAACGTATGCTGTTTTAAATGTATTACAATATTTATAGCACTTCACCAATTTAATTAAATTGACTTCTATTTATTATCGGCTTAACGTAATTTTGCATAACATATGAATGACATTCATTGAATTTAAATTTGAAAAATCCGTTATAAATACGTTACATATAGATGTGATTTGCATCTTTATGTTAAGAATCCACACGTTATGTAATAGGAATGGTACGGATAAACACAAAATCTTTACGATTGATTTTTAATGTTCTTTACTCATGAATGTTTTAAAAAACACAGAAAACGCACATAATTGAAGTTCAGGACATTTTTTGGAAGAGTTTTATGTGTTTCCAGGTATGACTTAAATTATAAAAACGAATGAAAAATCCTGACAGTCGTTACTAATTACCCACTAAAAAATGGGAATATATTAAAAGTTGAACGAAACGAAGTGGAGTTGAATTTGAATTGTTGTGGTCAAAATTCGATTAAAAGATTGAGACTAAAAAGTAGCAAATAAAAAAACGTTAAAAAAACTTTTTAAAAAACACGCTTTTTTCCCGAAGACTAAAAAACAAATAACATTTTTTTCTTGAAGTTAAGTCTGTTGTTGAGAATAAAAACGAAGCGACCAAAAAAGGAGCAAATAAAAAAATGTTAAAAAAAACTTTTTAAAAAACACGCTTTTATCAAAAAGACTAAAAATCAAAAAGTTCAAAATAAAATAAGGTCACACTTTTAGCGAATCAGGATTTTAAAAATTTTCTTGTGACAACTAGAAATGTAACATAAATTTTTTTCAAAATATTGTGATTAAGTCCAAGAACACAATGACTCGAAAAGCGTGGGGCTTTGAGATTTGACGCTTCTCTTACTTAGGAACTTAGTTGAACTAAGAAATGCATCCTTAAATTACGCCCCACGCTTAAAGAGTCATTGTGTTCTTGGACTTAATCACAATATTTTGAAAAAAATTTATGTTACATTTCTAGTTGTCACAAGAAAATTTTTAAAATCCTGATTCGCTAAAAGTGTGACCTTATTTTATTTTGAACTTTTTGATTTTTAGTCTTTTTGATAAAAGCGTGTTTTTTAAAAAGTTTTTTTTTTCTTTCTACATGTAGAATCGATCTTTATGAAGAAAGTTTCTTAGCTAGACAAAAACTATTGAAGAATCTACATTCTTCATCTAGTGTAGACATCTACATTTACAACACTGATAAATATTCAATCTAATTTTGAATGGGATAAAAGTCGTTGCTTTTTTTTTGAAAACAAGAAATGTAAATAAAAAATTAAAGAGGTTTTGACAGTGGATAGATTGCTCCAAAAAAAGAGAATAATTTCATCCCTACACTGTTTGTTCTTCTGAAAGGTTCAATCATCGATTCAATTACCACTGGACTTTTTTATATACTAAAAATATTAAGTCATTTAGGAGATTGATTACAAATCAGAAAATTTAACTTATTACCTAACTTCAAGAATCTTTAAAGAATAAGAAAAATCACAATAATAATAAAAAAAAATGTCGAAAATAGCAAAGAAACTGCTTGAAAGCTTGAAAAGCAAAGAGTTCAGGAACTATCTCATGAGGTGAGCATTTTAGCTTTGCAAATCGGCTTTTCATGATTTTAATGTCAAATTCTTCCGTGAAATTGATAATGTAATCCTTTCCTGCTGAATTTTATGATCTTTATGAATTACACTTAATTTTCTCATTATTCAATTGAACAGTACACATTTTTGGGGTCCAGTTGCAAATTGGGGCATTCCAATTGCTTGTCTCGCTGACATTCGTAAAGATCCAAAAATTATTTCAGGAACAATGACCACAGGTAAATAAGTTATTTTTTGTTGCTAAGTCAGTCGATAATGCAGATTTTTTTGGCGGTGAAAAAGGTCAAATATTCTAATATATACTATTCTTAATTTTGTTATTTGTTTTTCAGCACTTATCCTTTACTCTTGTGTTTTTATGCGCTTCGCATGGAAGGTTCAGCCACAAAATCTACTTTTATTCGCCTGCCATTTTACTAATGCGTCCGCACAAACGGTTCAAGGTGGAAGATTCATTGGATATCATTATCTAGGTGGCAAGGAACATGCTCAAAAGTCTGATGAAGCAAAAAAAGCTATGAACGAATCAATCGCAGCATCTAGCACAAATTAAGGAAAAAGACCTTTTCCAAACAGTTTGCGGTTGTTCAATAATTCAAAACATATTGTTTATTTCTTGATTGTTTTTTTTTCCACATTTTTAAAATTTCCTTAATTTCCTTTTTAAAAGAAGAGAAATAGTGAATAAAACTCAAAAAAATATCGGTTTTATATCTATATTAGCATTTTTTATCATTTATAATACCTAGATACGTTTTAAAATGCAATTTCAAGCATTTTTGATTTCGATCATAGTAGGCTTTTTTCAAAAAACTATCGATTTTATATCTATATTAGCATTCTTTATCATTTATAATACCAAGATATGTTTTAAAATGCAATTTAAAGCATTTTTGGATTTGATCATAGTAGAATATTTCCAATAAAATATCGATTTTATATAAATATTAACATTCTTTATCATTTATAATACCAAGATATGTTTTAAAATGCAATTTAAAGCATTTTTGGTTTCGATCATAGCAGGCTATTTTCAAAAAAAAAATATCGATTTTATATCTACATTAGCATTCTTTATCATTTATAATACCTAGATATGTTTTAAAATGCAATTTACAACATTTTTTGGTTTCGATCATAGCAGGCTATTTTCAAAAAAAAAATATCGATTTTATATCTACATTAGCATTCTTTATCATTTATAATACCTAGATATGTTTTAAAATGCAATTTAAAACATTTTTTGGTTTCGATCATAGCAGGCTATTTTCAAAAAAAAATATCGATTTTATATCTACATTAGCATTCTTTATCATTTATAATACCTAGATATGTTTTAAAATGCAATTTACAACATTTTTTGGTTTCGATCATAGCAGGCTATTTTCAAAAAAAAATATCGATTTTATATCTACATTAGCATTCTTTATCATTTATAATACCTAGATATGTTTTAAAATGCAATTTAAAGCATTTTTGGTTTCGATCATAGGAGGCTTTTTTTTAAAAAAATATCGATTTTATATCTATATTAGCATTCTTTATCATTTATAATACCTAGATATGTTTTAAAATGCAATTTAAAACATTTTTTGGTTTCGATCATAGCAGGCTATTTTCAAAAAAAAATATCGATTTTATATCTACATTAGCATTCTTTATCATTTATAATACCTAGATATGTTTTAAAATGCAATTTACAACATTTTTTGGTTTCGATCATAGCAGGCTATTTTCAAAAAAAAAAATATCGATTTTATATCTACATTAGCATTCTTTATCATTTATAATACCTAGATATGTTTTAAAATGCAATTTAAAACATTTTTTGGTTTCGATCATAGCAGGCTATTTTCAAAAAAAAATATCGATTTTATATCTACATTAGCATTCTTTATCATTTATAATACCTAGATATATGTTAAAATGCAATTTCAAGCATTTTTGGATTTGATCATAGTAGAATATTTCCAATAAAATATCGATTTTATATCTATATTAGCATTCTTTATAATTTATAATACCTAGATATGTTTTCAAATGCATTTTAAAGCATTTTTGTTTTCGATCATAGTAGGCTATTTTCAAAACATATCGATTTTATATCTATATTAGCATTCTTTATAATTTATAATACCTAGATACGTTTTAAAATGCAATTTAAAGCAATTTTGGTTGCGATCATAGTAGAATATTTCCAATAAAATATCGATTTTATATCTATATTAGCATTCTTTATCATTTATAATACCTAGATATGTTTTAAAATGCAATTTAAAGCATTTTTTGGTTTCGATCATAGCAGGCTATTTTCAAAAAAAAATATCGATTTTATATCTACATTAGCATTCTTTATCATTTATAATACCTAGATATATGTTAAAATGCAATTTAAAGCATTTTTGGTTTCGATCATAGGAGGCTTTTTTTAAAAAAAATATCGATTTTATATCTATATTAGCATTCTTTATCATTTATAATACCTAGATATGTTTTAAAATGCAATTTACAACATTTTTTGGTTTCGATCATAGCAGGCTATTTTCAAAAAAAAATATCGATTTTATATCTACATTAGCATTCTTTATCATTTATAATACCTAGATATATGTTAAAATGCAATTTAAAGCATTTTTGGTTTTAATCATAGTAGGCTATTTTCAAAAAAATATCGATTTTATATCTATATTAGCATTCTTTATAATTTATAATACCTAGATATGTTTTAAAGTGCAATTTAAAACATTTTTTGGTTTCGATCATAGGAGGCTATTTTCAAAACATATCGATTTTATATCTATATTAGCATTCTTTATCATTTATAATTCCTAGATATGTTTTAAAATGCAATTTAAAGCATTTTTGGTTTCGATCATAGGCTTTTTTTAAAAAAAATATCGATTTTATATCTATATTAGCATTCTTTATCATTTATAATACCTAGATAAGTTTTAAAATGCATTTTAAAGCATTTTTGGTTTTGATCATAGTAGGCTATTTTTAAAACATATCGATTTTATATCTATATTAGCATTCTTTATCATTTATAATACCTAGATATGTTTTAAAATGCAATTTAAAGCAATTTTGGTTTCGATCATAGCATGCTATTTTCAAAACCTATCGATTTTATATCTATATTAGCATTCTTGATCATTTATAATACCTAGATATGTTTTAAAATGCAATTTAAAGCATTTTTGGTTTTGATCATAGTAGGCTATTTTCAAAAAATATCGATTTTATATCTATTTTAGCATTCTTTATCATTTATAATACCAAGATATGTTTTAAAATGCAATTTAAAGCATTTTTGGTTTTGATCATAGTAGGCTATTTTCAAAAAATAGGATTTTATATCTATATTAGCATTCTTGATCATTTATAATACCTAGATAAGTTTTAAAATGCATTTTAAAGCATTTTTGGTTTTGATCAGAGTAGGCTATTTTCAAAACATATCGATTTTATCAGAGATCGAAGCCGATTTTTTCGGCTTAACTCAATTTTTGATTATTTTGATAGAAAAAAGCCATTTAACACCCATTTTAAGTATTTAAATTGAACTTTACATGCTTTACTATGATTCTGTGAAATATTTTTTCAGCATGTAGCTATAGTAAGCTCTGAATTTCAATTTAGCCGATTTTAAGCCGATCGGCTTAAATTTCGGCTTAACATTCTTTAACTTGAAATTCTGAGCTCACTATAGCTACATGCTGAAAAAATATTTCACAGAATCATAGTAAAGCATGTAAAGTTCAATTTAAATACTTAAAATGGGTGTTAAATGGCTTTTTTCTATCAAAAAAATCAAAACTTGAGTTAAGCCGAAAAAATCGGCTTCGATCTCTGGATTTTATATCTATGTTAGCATTCTTTATCATTTATAATACCTAGATATGTTTTAAAATGCATTTTAAAACATTTTTTGGTTTCGATCATAGCAGGCTATTTTGAAAAAATATCGATTTTATACCTATATTAGCATTTTTGATCATTTATAATACCTAGATAAGTTTTAAAATGCATTTTAAAGCATTTTTGGTTTTGATCATAGTAGGCTATTTTCAAAACATATCGATTTTATATCTATGTTAGCATTCTTTATCATTTATAATACCTAGATATGTTTTAAAATGCAATTTAAAACATTTTTTGGTTTCGATCATAGCAGGCTATTTTCAAAAAATATCGATTTTATATCTATATTAGCATTCTTTATCATTTATAATACATAGATATGTTTTAAAATGCAATTTAAAGCATTTTTGGTTTCGATCGTAGTAGGCTATTTTCAATAAAATATCGATTTTATATCTATATTAGCATTCTTTATCATTTATAATACCTTGATAAGTTTTAAAATGCAATTTAAAGCAATTTTGGCTTCGATCATAATAGGCTATTTTCAAAAAAAATATCGATTTTATATCTACATTAGCATTCTTTATCATTTATAATACCTAGATACGTTTTAAAATGCAATTTAAAGCAATTTTGGTTTCGATCATAGTAGGCTATTTTCAAAAAAATATTGATTTTAAAACTACATTAGCATTCTTTATCATTTATAATACCTAAATATGTTTTAAAATGCAATTTAAAGCATTTTTGGTTTCAATCATAGTAGGCTATTTTCAATAAAATATCGATTTTATATCTATATTAGCATTCTTTATCATTTATAATACCTAGATAAGTTTTAAAATGCAATTTAAAGCATTTTTTGTTTCGATCATAGTAGGCTATTTTCAAAAATATATCCATTTTAAATCAACATTAGCATTCTTGATCATTGAAAATACCTAGAAATATAAAATGCAATTTAAAGCATTTTTGGTTTCGATCAAAGTAGGCTATTTTCAAAAAAATATTGAGTTTAAATCTACATTAGCATTCTTTATCATTTATAATACCTAGATATGTTTTAAAATGCAATTTAAAGCATTTTTGGTTTCGATCATAGTAGGCTATATTCAATAAAATATCGATTTTATATCTATATTAGCATTCTTTATCATTTATAATACCTTGATAAGTTTTAAAATGCAATTTAAAGCATGTTTGGTTTCGATCATAGTAGGCTATTTTCACAAAAATTTCGATTTTATATCTTTATTAGCATTCTTTATCATTTATAATACCTAGATATATTTTAAAATGCAATTTAAAACGTGTTTGGTTTCGATCATAGTAGGCTATTTTCAAAAAAATTATATCGATTTTATATCTATATTAGCATTCTTTATCATTTATATTACCTAGATGTGTTAAAAAATGCAATTTAAAGCGTTTTTGGTTTCGATCATAGTAGGCTATTTTCACAAAAATTTCGATTTTATATCTTTATTAGCATTCTTTATCATTTATAATACCTAGATAAGTTTTAAACTGCAATTTAAAGCATGTTTGGTTTCGATCATAGTAGGCTATTTTTAAAAAAATATCGATTTTATATCTATATTAGCATTCTTTATCATTTATCATACCTAGATATGTTTTAAAATGCATTTTAAAGCATTTTTGGATTCGATCATAGTAGGCTATTTTCAAAAAAATATTGATTTTAAATCTACATTAGCATTCTTTATCATTTATAATACCTAGATATGTTTTAAAATGCAATTTAAAGCA